ATGGACCTTCATGGACCGCTTGCCCACAGATGATTGATCATCATTGATCGTTTAGCCAGGTGGAGGAGTGTCCTATGAGATAGGGGAGCCATCCTGAGTTTGTATGGAAGGTCACACATTCCCGTGGGTCTCAGGGGAGTTCAAAAGGTGAACATGGTTTTCAGTCGCCGATGGGGCTGGTCCAAAAAGGTGTTCTGATCGAGGGGACCCTTCAATCCATGAATTGTACACTCCCTAAAGACCATGGTGGAAGTGGAAAACCACGTGTTGATAGAGAAATGGTCATCCAAGGGGCCATGCCATCCACTGCACTCGAAGGTCTTGACTACTTTGCTCATTTACTTAAGAACACTGACTTATGGCCGAATTGATGATCCTTTTGAGAAGCATCCTTTGTTTGCTTGCGATGTGGGATGATTTTTTGGTATGGTCTGCATTTGTAGGCTAATACTATAGCCCTGGCAAGCACAGAATCGTAGTGAAGAAAGAGTAGCCAAAACTTAGGAGCTACGAAGCTACTGGTGAATGTGTTGGGGTCCAGTTTTCGCTTCATTCCTTTTCCTCCGCTTGGAAGGCCGCTCCTGTGGAGGACGGTTGAAGCGAGCAAGCTTCGCTGGTGAGAGCTCGTTTTGTTTCATCATTTTGTGAAATGCTTAACTATATACTATATACTGAATCAACCTGGCTGGTATAAGTGAACACACTTTTGGGAAGTGGTCGAAAGAATGCCTGTCTTGTATTTGTAGTTATAATGCCAACACCGGATCAATAACCACCCCTCAAGGTTTGCCATTTGGGTGGTGTCAGAACAGCGCCATTCGACTTATTAGGGGGGGGTGTTCTTCAGAGGTCAAAAGGCCAGAAAGGCCCCGTTGCCAGGGGAAGACCATGGTTTTTCACCACCACCACGGTGTGAAGTCTCAAGGTCCATTGGGGCCATTTGCAGGGGGATATGACTTCATCTAACCCAGACCATCCATGGGACTGGCATATGTTTGCCTATCAGTTGAGGCGGTTTCAGGGGTGAATGTAGGCACATATGCCAGTCCCATGGATGGTCTGGGTAATGATCAGTATTCACACCTAGCTCCTCAGCTCCCTGTTGAAGGGGGAATAATGGTGAAACTGACTTGTTGCCGATGTGCACGAGTTGGATACGACAGATACGCGAGAACGGAACTCGCTGACTGCGCCTGGTGGGCCCGCTGTTGGGGCAGGATTTTGCCAGTGGCTGGCGCAGGCCAAGCTGTTTGTTCCGATGATGTGGCACTGGGATGCACTGGGCAGGACCAGAAGTCCTAAAAACCATCTCCAAGGTGCAAAACTAAGCTGTTTGGCATTTTGGAGGGTCAAGATGGCCCAAGTGGCCAAAGCTCATGGTCTCCTTGTTTGGGATTTCTTTGGGTGCTTTTGGTTTTGCCTCTTCCGTGGTTTACCGCGCCAGCCGCTGCCATCCGCCAGATACCTGGGACGGAACCCACGCCTGCGCGATCCGAAGGCGCGATCCGTCGTTTGGTGCTTGCCAATGCTGCTTGCGGCAAGCATATCGTATGGTGCTCTAATGTAGACCCTTGAGGACCACAAAGCAAAGTCTCACATCAGACCGTGTGAGCGCGAGTGGTAGAAGAGGTGTTTCAACTCAAATGGGGTGGTTTATTCATCAAGAGTATGGCGCTATAGCTGATTATAGCTGCTTTCATGCAAAATCAAGGCTGCCTTTCAGCCTGCAAGGCTGCGGGCCGGGCAGAATTGCTTTCGGAATCAATACTCAATATATAATATATTTCATTAGTTATATTCCTGTGCTGAGCAAAATGCCCTTGTGCTTCTATTCTCCGTCTCAGGCATAGATACATGACAAACCTAGTGAAAAACGACCAGGCTGCTGGCAGAAAGAAGGCTGGGCTAAAGCAGAAGCCCAAAAGAGCAAGCACCACTGACTGAGAGACAAAATCAACAAAAATCAACGGGAGAATACAACCCAATGCCCAAGAACCATACTTATGTTGGCACTCAAAATCGAAAACTGTTAAACTAAAAGACATATCATGGTATCGAGAGCTGGCTGACTCGAATGTCTTTGTTTCCATCACGTTCGGCTGAGAGTCACCAGTGTCAAGATCCGGATACCCAGCTTGTTCTCGGACTTCATCGATGCCGGAGCCAGTCATCCATGCTCCATCGCGCGCCAGTCATCCTCCTAACTCACGTGGGGTGGTTTCATCGTGAAGGTTGACAGGTGTGGGATGTTCATCTTTAGGATTGTTAGTCTTAGGATCCCGGCGTCCCAGACAGCAAGGGGTCAAGATGAAAAAAATAAAAAACAACAACCTACTCAAAAACAACTCAGACCAGAAACTCAGATTCCAAAGCCACTCAAATGAGAGACTCAAATTGGACTCAGATTGGACTCAAATTGGACTCAGATTGGACTCAAATTTGACTCAGATTGGACTCAAATTGGACTCAGATTGGACTCAAATTGTACTCAAACATGGTTTTTGAGTTGTTTTTGAGTCTTTTTTGAGTTGTTTTTGAGTTTTTTTGAGTTTTTTTTGAGTTTGTTTTTGAGTTGTTTTTGAGTTTGTTTTGAGTTTTGTTGTTGAGTTTGTTTTGGATTTGAGTTCTTGAGTTGATTATTTTTTGATTATTTTTTGATTATTTTTGGTTTTTTAATTTTTTCAATGATTTCAGCCCTGTCTGGGCACCACGTTTTCCTAATGTTAGTCCTTGTCAAACTACATTGTATCAAATGTAATATTATATATATATATTATATATTTGTGTGTAATGATGTAAGCATCCTAATTGCCCGGTTGTTTGACAATTGGCTAAAGAAAGTGCTTCTGATTCAGGCATGCCAGTTTGCCCAAAACGCTTTCTGTGCACTCGAAAAGGCGCTCCCGTTGCTGGTGCGACGCGGGGTGCCAGACGACCTTCGAGCGGAGGCGTGGGGAATGCAAGGATCGAGTCCGTTTGTGACGACGTGACACGTGATGGTCTCCCACAGATTCTCCAAATATACGTTCTATTGCACATGTTAGGACCAGTGATGGTTTCGTTACAGACTTTTGGTTCCAATGTCAGATGACAAAGCGCCAACGGACGACTGCTGGGTGGAGGTTCCCCAAACGAGTGGAAATTTTCCGTGATCATGCTGGCCATGTTGGGGGAAAAACAAGATCTACACCCTGGAAGAGACCCACATGGAACCTGAAAGCCACCGGGTTGTAGAGAATAGTCTTCCAAAGGTCTATGTTCAGGTTCCATGTGGGTCTCTTGCCGGGTGTATGTTGAGCACGTTAGGGACAGATCCATTTGCTGTCATTGGCTCACATCATCTCATATCTACTAATCGACTGTGAACATCTCTGAGGCTACTGATGCAAAATGGATTGATACCCGGTTGTCCTATTGCTTTGCGCCAAACTCACGGGATCTTTCTCAAGTGTAGCCGGACTGAGCTCTTGCGATAGCCGTCGGGTGGGTTATGTAGATCATCCACAGAAGTGTCCCGAAGTCCGCTTGTGCAGATTTTCCGGCTCAAATGGATTGAGAAGTATCTAAACATATCTAAACATCAGGATCTCTCCACCTGGACAATCATGGATCAACCAGACATGATTCTGTAAGAAGATCCTGTCCATATGAACATCAGAATGAACATCCTATATCCATTGGAGGGTCCTTTTCAGAACACTCGCCGAGCCCAAAAGCAAGCCCCACTTGGCCAGGTTTGGTCTCATTGCCTGAGCATTGCTCACGCAAGCTCCCCAAGCGCAGGCGCTTTCTGCGGAGTCAATGTGAGAACGAGTCGAAAAAGAAATCTATAGCTTGGAATAGTGGGAGTGGCTCACTTCTCTTTGACCTGTGACACTGTGGAGGCTTGTGTTTGCACATCTCATGTGTGTTTTACCTTGTTTTACCGAAGAGCATGCTCAAAGGAAGGAAGGGAAGGTGCTGGGGCGTGGCTGTGTTGGGGGGAGTGATGGTTGCTGCTAGAAGGTGCTCGTACATCAACATGTGATCCTCTACCGGCCCCCTAAGGCCCCACGCCCTCGTTGATCGGGCGGGCCGGATACACCTTTGACGGCCGGGAGTTTGAAATAAAATCCTCGTATAAGGAGTCCCCAGTCCCTTAAGATCTTAAGACCCCCAAAACCGGTCAACTCGCTGCAGCTTCAGTGATTTTCAGTGAGAAGTGGATCAGGAGACCCAACAGTCGCAGCCGGTGTGAACAGAACTGGCCGACATGGTGCCAGGCCAGAACCAGACTTCCCCGTTGTCCCATGGCTTTCACCACATGTGGACAGGGTTTGTCCCAGTAAACTGGTCAAGCCGTCAGTAAAACGATTATGACGATGTTTGGAACAAACCCATTACTGTACTCACCATCATCATCCACTAGGCCCTGGTATTGAGATAGACCCCAAACATGCTGTTCAGAGATGTTCAGACAGAGAGAGAGAGAGCTGTCATAGTGGGCCGGGACCACTTCTGGGTTTTTGTCGCAGGAATTCCCGGCCTCTTCCCATCTTCCCGGCGCGACCGAGGGTCCTTCAAGAGTAACGACCTTTGATCAATAGGCAGGCCTTGGGGCCTATGGAAGAGGCCTCCAACCTACTGGCGATTGATCATACTCATACTGAGTGATACTGCTTGCGGCCTTTACTTGCTTCTCACTCCATTGTTTGCACACTCCCAGGGTTGCAAAACGATGGAACTCGGCAGAGAAAGATAGTCTTAATCTATAGTTTTGGAATCAGCCATATTGAACACTCACACATGTTCTGGACATCGCACAGAATCGCGCAGGCCTTTCATTCCCATGATGCTTGGCCAACATGTTTCTCAGGAAAGCAAGGAATACACTGAGCTACGAAGAAAGGCGGGGTCGACTGTCTCCCAATGGACACACATCCTTTTGAAATCCGCTCTTAGAGAAAGATGGTCTTATGCAGCTCTAGCACCGCCGGCGACGCCGCTACCGGAAGACTCCCATGGCGCTGGCTGGCTGCACCGTCGCCCACCGGGCCCGTGCAGCCCCCCCCCGACCCGCCGGACCGGGGAGACACTGGAGGAGGGGCACCGTGCGACGGGTGACTCGGGCGACGGGCGTGTCAAAGGAAAATGAGGTTGGAAGCGAAACAAAAGCCGAGAAGAGCTCCATGCATTTCACGGTATGGCTTCTAGGAGTCTAGAAGTGCTTCAAAGCCTGAGAATGAAGGGCACAATAAGAGTCTATAGATTAGAGTTAGTGTAACACGACACGATCTCGTGTATAAAAGTTGCTGCATACAGGCTTGCTTGAGAAGCTGTCCATCATAGCATTCTTGCAGTCAGAGACAGAGAGTTGCGAAAAAGTGAGCTTGAGTTTTACAAATGCATGCAAATGCCTTTGCGATGAATTTGCAGATCTGACCAGCCATGCTGCCATGAGTGTGAAAAAGCAATTGAGATGTCACACATGGTCAAAACCCTGCCTGCGACGATAAGACGTGTTGCACACCTTACCTCTGTTTTGTTCTGTCACTTAGTTAGGCCGAAGCTGCAAAACAGAACACGAGACGAGAACATAGGGAGGCCATCATACCACCTCGTTTTGTGGTCATACGAGATGTTTGGCAAAATCTGGAGGCGATCATATACAAGAAATAGAAGTGCGAAACTAGTGCAATGAGAAAAAACACAAAAATAAAGCCACCAAACCAAACCACATCATCATCATCATCATCATCATCATAATCATCATCATCGTGGGAAACCGGGTGCTCGCTTTGCTTTGCATGATATGTTGTTGTTCCTCAGGTTGTTTGTTTTGCCTTCTGAATTGCAGCAAGGCCGAAGACTTCAGTTCATTGGTTGTTGCCTTTTTCGCTGGATATTTGGCATAGGGGTGTGCCTGCAAGCCATTGACAAAGGAGGATCATGGAGTATCCAAGGGTGTTACCATTTAGCACGCAACATATACTTATGAGTTCCTGATGAGAAAGAACCTTGTTGCTCCAGTGACCCGGTGGAGGCGAGGAGCTGTCTTTTTTCTTCGAGTTTTCTTGCTTCACAAATAGCCAACACATGAAATGGCTGACTTCAAGTGGTACCCAGCCTTTGAGGGGCTTGGTGTTGTTTTTTTGCGGGGGGGAAATGTTTTAATCCATGTTCTTTCAGCCGACCCACTGAACAACCGTAACCATCGTACTGAACAACCGACCCACGTTTTCTTCGTGTTTCCGACCGTTTTGGGATCTCACGTTCATAGACTCATGGATGCCGCCAGCCAGAGGACACCTCCACCCGCCACTGCTGTCACTGCTGTCGTCGGACTCATGCACGGACTCGCGGTGCACCCGGCGTTGCACGGTCGCGCGGGTCGCGCTGCTTGTCCTGGTGGAAGTCACTCGGTTCAATTCCAGGCGCTGCATGGGACTGCCATATGTTCCTACCTTGGGTGGGTTTGAAGAGTCAATTGATCGGCAAATATGGCATAGTTGTAGGACAATATGGCACAACATATGCCATACATGGAGTATATCCCATACACTAATTAGGATGCCTAATGTATGGTGCGCATATCTATATTCCTTACCTATGGTGTGTTTCGTCGCGGTTCCCGCATGGCCTCCGCACGGCGTGTCCGTTTCCGGTCACGGCCGAAATGGTGGTGGAGTGGGCGTCGTCTTCAGCGTGCCATGTCGGTCAAAGGGATCGAAACTAGTGAAACCTATTCTTACCCAGACGCGACCAGTCTGTGACCGCCGGACTGCCGACAAACGGCCGCCGGGGTGGTGGTGGTTTGGGGGGGTCGATCGATCTATAACTAGCCTATGTTTAGTTATAGTCTAGTGGATTGAGAGGACCAATGGCACAGACTGAGAGGACCAATGGCACAGACCCCAAGGTCGGTGGTTGAAAAATGAACCCCCATCTGTCTAAGACATCTTGAGGTCTGTGCCATCGAGCCTCTGTCTCAAACCACTGTACAATATTGTATACGTTGGGTTTGTCCCACTACCTGTAACAGTGGGCAAGCAATTCTCACCATAATTATGTTAGAAAAAGGCCTTTACGAATTACATCTAATTACTAACCAACATCATTCACGGTTACTGATACTGGTAACATGATGTTACCCAATGTATATGGTTCAGTCGTTCGTTGCTCGTGTTAGTCACATGTCTTGAAAGGCGACGAGGTCCCCAGCCTCTTTCCGATGCTCAGAGAACAGCCCCATGCTGGCCACGGCCTGGACTACGGAAGTTGTTTCTTGCGGTTGCGAAGTGTCGGCTTGCAGAGTCTTGAGCGGATCCCACTTCGATAAATAGTCATAGAGTCAGATGTACTGTATAGGGTAATCACCTTCCACCACCCCCCCTTGTTTTGGCACGAAAGAACAAGGTTTCAATACTCAGCTTGTATGATTTTGGATACATGGCCAGTGGTGACCTTTGCCAATGTTTACACCCTTCCAGACTACCATAGAACCAGAAAGCGCTGGTAGAGGAGATGTTTTTCCCATATGGTTTATTCTCAGGTTCTATGTCAGCCTGCGAGGGTGTAAACAAATCTAAGGGACTTGCTGTATCCATTGGCCGAGTGACTCACTTGTTCAATTGAAAGACTTCCAGCCGCCATGCAAGAAGCTCCTTTGCAGGGTTCAAGCAGCGAGCTTTGCGTGGGACCGCGGTGCTTGCGCAGCGCGGCGAGGGGGACGGCTTGGTGGCACCTGGCCTGCAAGAATAGTCCACATAGGGACGGATCAAAACCTGTAGCTGGACCTGCCAACCAAGGTATCCTGCATTGGATCCGACAACCATATCAGTTAGGGAATCAGGGAAACGTGGCAAACTAGTGTGAACTGCTGAGAAACGGAGCAGACGGAGAGTCCTACATGACATGTCAACACAAAAGCAGACGGAGAGTCGTACGGAGAGTCCGCGTCGCTTGCGCAGACAACAGCACGGCACACAACAGAGTCCATTGAGGATCAAAGAACTCTCGAGTCAGACAGTCATAGTGATGTCATAGTGATGTCATTCCCCATGATTGGTCCACTATAAGATGGAGTTCTGGCAGGATGTTGCCCCAGTCAAGGGGGATATAGAGTCATAATAGACTTATTTTGGGCTGCGACTTTCTGCAGCGCTAGCCAGCTTTGTCCTTATCCAGCCTGCTTCAGCTCTAGCTGCCACCGGAACTTGGACCAGACACCAGAAGGCGTCACGCCCACACCAGTCAACTGCAAGCACATCCAAGCTGACTGGGCTGGTTGCTGGGAGCAAAGGTTTAATGTCTTCATGTTCTGTTCTTGAAAGTTCCCCGGACACGTGGCGGACACGAAGCAGACATTTGCAACATTGTTATCGCTATCATACCGGGACTGCCTTCCCTGCATTTCGCCGCGCCGGCCTTGGACTTCGCTGACTTCGCCGACTTCACGTGTTCACCGGAGGCGCCGGGAACCTATGCCAAAACCTGGAGCAATCCCAGCGGTGCAGTGCTGCGGTGCTGCGTCCCAGGAAGCCTTTGGGCCGCTGAGAGGCCGTTCGTGTGGAACAGCATCGATGTCTCTTGGTCCTGGCCATGGGCCGACAGCAGACAGCGGACAGGGTGAAAGCTGGGCTGTTTCCAACGGGGCGCCTTGAACAAATCTTGGTCAAACTAGGCTGTATGGCTTGAGTGTCCTTATCCCAAGTTGCTTTTGCCTATGGAGCTCGGCTCTTCGGACCAGACCAAGGAGTGAGTGGATTGGCCGGAGAACTACAGTAGGTCTACAGTCACCTCAGAACAGACAGCTCTTACCACCTCAGAGCTTGAGGAGGTGAAGGTGAGAGTTATTTCCTGGCGATCCGATGGTCTTCATGCATCCAAACGGCCAGTGTTTGCTCCAATTGAGACCCACTCGCTACGTCCAGATCGGTCCGCATGACCTGTGTCTCGTCCATTCCCAGAGGTCAAACACTTCGGACCAAGCCGCACCATTCCGCCAGCCTTTGAGAATGATGCAGTTCGACTGAGCTCTTAAATAATTGTAAATTGGGAACTCCACACTCTTACAGAAAATGCTATACCAGGACCTTCAAAGTAACGTTTGGTCCACCTATATCGATCGTTCTCGTTCCGCCTCGCACCCAGGGAATCCGACTCTCCCTCGTCCGGCCTCGTACCGAGGTGGGTGGCAAGATGGCGGTGATTCGGTTGCCCAGCGGCGCATTGTGGGTGCACTCCCCCGTCGAGCTGGATGTACACCTCAGGCACGCCTACGGACACGGAGGGTGGTGGCAGCAGGGATGGTCCCAGGCCACCGGACTTCACTTAAATTGGAACAAAAGTCCATTGAGAATGGTAGACTCAGGACGGGTCTTTGGGAAGAGTCGCTGTTTCCATGTCCTGGTTGAAAGACGAACGACAGGCGATTTGGCTACCGCTCTTTGCCTTCGTGATTGGTTCTAGCAGGATCTTCGCTTGGGACAACTGTAGCCGTCACAGTAGTCATGACAATGGGTGATCGACAACAATCATGGGATGTGTCATTATGTTTTGACATGTTGTTACTGTCGCCACGGGAATTCTTTGTTCAACAGTTGTTCCTTTCAAAATCGCTGGGAGCATGCAGGGCAGGGTGCTACCATGCAAGCTGTATGTTGTAGATGCTGATGAATAATGATGAATACAGTTGTCGCTTGAGATGGAGCGATTCAGATCTAATGAGGATGACCATCCAAATGTTTTGTCCTGACCATGACTGATATATCATCATGCAAAACCACCTTGGATTCCGAACTTGTAATGTGAGATGGTCTTTGATGATGCAACTATATAACTCACTGCGTTGAACCTGTTCGAACTCACTCACTTCTGACAGTACAGCCACGCGATACACAGCTCCTTGGCATTTGGCTTCAGTGGAGTTCATTCAGTGCTTGGGTTTGTCGACTCACAATTCCAGAAGTCATAGGACCGAAATCATAGGAATGACACCATCCGACTTCAAGAGACTCATGAATCATGAAGCAATTGTAACCCTTTCATCTACTGCCAGACGTGGGGGAAGAACCAACGATTTTGAACTCCAACGACTGCAGCCCACGTCAAGTCCGGAAAGGTTTACCCTTTGCACCAATGCTGGAGTCTTCTTCCAACCCGGAAACCCTAACAACCAGAAACTAGTTGTTCCGATATGGCCATTGAGATCCTTTACATAGCAAGTGGTTGCGTGGAAAACATCCTTTTGTTTTTGGTTGGGAGTGGATTTCCAGGAAGTTCTGTTTTGGGGTCGGCTGAGCCATTCAATGCACCCATGTTCCAATCCCCAGAACCGTCAGAAGCCGTGAGAGGTCGAATGTGCTTGAAGTTCGCTCCGGCCAGGGCCCAGCTAGCGGAACTGGGGCCGGTGCAGCATGTGGTCTCTCCCAACTTCGAACACGTGAAATACGCCAAGCAGTGGAAGGAGGCCGATGGTGTCCATTGGGGCCCGTTTGGCAAACGTGGAAAGCATGCAGCCGTTTCGAAGCACGTCCGGTGCGGGGCGATGTTGAACGGACAGCACACACGGATCGAGCCGGATTGGTTTCAAACAAGACACCGAGAGGACATAATTTTGCAGCCCTTGCTTATATATGTTGTCAAAATTGCAACTGCTTAATTACATTAAATTACATTGACATGTTTTTTGGATCAATTTTCCTTGTGCCCCCACCGTTTTAGCTTCAAACTGCTGCAAGTTGCTTCAGGCCTATCCGGAAGCTACCTTGTGGGGCTCTCCTGGTAGCGACCCTAGGGGCTGCTTGTGGAGGGAGGGCATAAACTTACTTGGAGCAGCAGAGGATGGACTTGGACACATCTTGCAAGAGCTCTTCTTCACAAGGTAAGAAGATGCCAAGTGTGTAGGGGTAATTATATATTTGAACGTCGTTCAAAAACCCACCTCTTCCTTGATAGTAATCGAATTTCAAAGGCTGATTTCGAGTGCGCTCTCACTGCAGTCGCGAAAGGTTCGCGAAGGTCCTGCGAAAGGTCTGCGCAAGTCATGTTGGTGACCTGGCCACGCTGCAAAAACAATTGCTCTTCAGACTTCCGATTGCTTTTTCCCGGGTTGGGAAAAAGCAAATTGGAAGTCTGAGCCTTTTGCTTTTTCCCGGGCCGGGAAAAAGCAAATTGGAAGTCTGATACATTTCCGATTGTTTTTTCCCGACCCTTGGAAAATCCTTTGTCGTGGGAAACTGCGCAAGTATGGCGACAGGTTCGCACTGCGGACGCGAAAGACGACAGGGCCAAACCCCACCCCACTCCACTCTTCTTGCTGGAAGCACGCGCTGGACACTCCAGCTGCAGATGCACTCATAGCATGCCCACAAGTGCAGGTATGTGAGGTGAGGTGGTTGGCTCTACGGCTGTAATTGCGCATTTTATTTAGAGAGCTGTGGCATAAGCAGAAGGTTGTGGGCTCGAGCCTCACCGCGCTGATTGTTTCCAGGGTGGAGACAGCAATTGGAAATCTGTGAGGCAAATTGCTTTCCAAATTGGAAGTCTTGACCATGTTGCTTTTTCCCGGCCCGGGAAAAAGCAAATTGGAAGTCTGAGCGAACTGGCCTGAGCCGTCTTTTGTTCATGGAGGGTTGCGCCCAACCAAAAACACACCAAAATGAAAATGGCTTGGTTGGCTGGCTTCCTGTTCCTCGGCAACCAATGTGTCAGTTATCAGAGGACGCAAGACGTGCCAGGGCAACTGCATGAATCCTTGAAAGCCTCTAGCCCCAACGAAAAACCATTTTCGCCGACAGTAGTAAAACCCCACGCGCGAAAGCTTCGCGAAGGTCCTCCGAAAGGCCTGGAAAAAATGAAAGGACTTTTGAACAACCCCCAATTTGATCATAAGCATGGAGTGTGTTTTTTCTCATCAATCATTTGTTGCCACATGGGATGACAAAACAGTGGGGGACCCATAACTGATCCTGTCCATGTGGGACTGCGCTTCTGCGCGTGTGTTTCCCAAACACTTCATCACATTTACCTATAGTTGGCATGGTTTCAGGGCTCAATGTAAGTGTATGTCCCCAAAGTATGTTTCATACATGTAGTGCCTTCTGCTTGGACTTCTGGAAGAACATCTCGTCAAGCTGGCAAGGCATGATCGAGAAGTTCCCAAAGATTCCTTATGACCGGGAGCTGGATATTGCCTCTCCTGCTGCATGGCAAGGGGACATTGAGATTTGCCTTTCAGATGCAAAAGGATCAGTCTTGTTTTTCCCACATTCAGGAAAAAGTTGATAACCTTTAACCTTTGTTGGGTGTTTATTTTCCCCACCTCATATACATGGAAAAAGGCTATAACCTTTTTTCAAGGGAAACGGCTCGGCAGTCAGGACCCTTTCGGGGTTCCCAACCTCGGTTTCGTTCGGCCGGGAGAAGTCACTCACCGCCCTGGCCGCTTTCGTTCCGAGGTTTCGCTGATTGTGAACGACGCTCGGCAGAACCCACAAGTGCGTCTCAAATTGCCGAAGGGTAAAACATGGTATAGAATCATATAGTTCTCAATTTGGTTGATATTCAGATATGTTCAGCAACTTATTTTGGAACTACACTGATTTACACATCATATTGTATCATATTGTTTGTTTTATCTTTGCAGGGGTCGCGGGGTTTGCTCCATTGAACCCACTGGATTTCCTCAGGAATACCGCTGGTCGGCACGCCCTTCTTCAATGAAGTGACTCTTTGCTGAAACACAGCGCGAAAACACCGCGACGAGTGCTGAGCTGAGCTGTTAGCACTCATGGGTTGTGAAAGGCCTACGGAAATCTATGAGAAATACCGTGAAGATGGATAAGAACGGCCAAAAGGGCTGACAATTGGTGTGTCAGAAATGCCTGTTCATCGACCCATGTCACCATGTGTCCTTATCCAATTAGCTGGTGCTTAGACGTCTGCTGCTCAGTATGGCGTTAAGGAGCTGGGGGCTATCCATATTCCCCACTAAACAGAGAGCAAAGGAGTTACCGGGAATTCCCCAACCCCTTGCTAGTTATTAATGCTGTAAGACTCAACCCACCCCGATCTTGCCCAAGATAGCATCTAGCCGAATCTAGCCACTCCGTGCCACTTCGTGAGGATTTTTTACCACGTGCCCAGTGAGACGCTGATCACCACTGACATCTTCTGGAGCTATCCGGAAGCGATGCCCGAGGGCTCCAAGTTGTGGAAGCTCCTTGGTCGGACCTTCGCGGGACCTTCACCGCCACCGGTCCTCGCGAGCGATCGGCGACCGAACCCTCTTCGGCACGCGGGTCAGCCCGACTGGGAGAGGTTTCTGATGGACAAGATCTACCTGCCCTTTTACCGACGCCCCGAGCTCAGGGCAAAACAGGAAGTGTGCAGACCTGCGAGGTGAGAATTTGTGACCACATGAGACCACAGACTGAGAGAGGACACAGGGGACCCTTCAGAACCCCGGCTCCAAATCTCATAACGACACTCTTGATGGCGATCTCGGTGAACACGCAGCATCTAATCCCTCCTACATAGCCGGGGACAGGTACACCACGGTACCTGGTACACCCTTTCAACCAGACCGCGAGGAAAACCACTCATTGGTCGCTGCTGAAAGTCCGATGCCCCAAGGCTTTATGCTGAAAGATGAGGCGGGCGGAACATTGAGAGTAATCGGACGATGGTGCCTGAGCCATCCTGATCCTGGGTTTGTTTCATGGCACGACGCTAGGCTCCTCCTTCTTGTGGAGCCTCGCAATGAGAAAAGTGGGTTGAAGCGCCATGCGGAGGAAGTGTGATGAAACACTTGTCGGTCGTGTCGGTTAGAACATGCGAAGATTGGCCGAGTGCAGCGAGCCTTCCTCCCATGTGGTGTGTTTTCATGCGGTGTTTTGGCGTCCGAGCAGACGGCCCATGTGGGCCAATGAAGTCTGACCAAGATCAAGCAAGTACATCCAAGAACCCGTTCAATCTTTGCAGGTGTCCCTACCAATCAACCAAGAGGTGTGTGTTTCACCACGGCTGGGTGAACCACGTGCTGGAGGCATCCTTGGAATCTGTTTTGAAGAAGGTGAAGTCCTGGCAGCCTAAGGGTTTGCTGCCCTGCCATGGAGTTTATCAAGCATCAGGACGGACCAGAACTGCGGGTCCCACTGAAGGCTCATGTCCAAATGCTGCGATTCTTGAGGAATGCATAGGAGTGTAGATGACTTTCATTTATCGGTCATTCAGAGCACAACACAAGACCTTGCGTCACGGATGTTTGTGTTTTTTCCCTTGAGGGGTGAGCAGACCAAGAAAAGCAGCTGTCGGACGACGGCGCGGCTTCGTCTCTTGCCATCTCTGAGTTCCTTCGGACGACTGGAACACCCCGCCGAACCTTCCCGGAGCTCCAGGAGCCGCCGAAGCCTTTGCAGCGCATCTGGCCTGACCGCGACTCGCGACTCGCGGTGCCAAAAGGGCTCCAAACGTGCTCGACCGGGCGCCGCTGGGGTTCGAACCGATGTGATGATAGTTTTTTGTTTGGCTTCACCAATCTTCACCACCATAAATGTTGGAACAAGGGCTGTAACAAGGGCATATAGTAATTATGTGCAATTATTTGTCCAAGCTGTGGGTGGATATATGTACATACAATTGCATATATATATATAGAGATATATTTAGTTATTTATTTATTTATATAGTATAGTTTCTACTTTGTGTGTGTGCGTGTGTGTTTGTCCTGCTTCACTTTCGGAAAATGCAACAGAGCCATTGGTGACCAATGCTGGTGACATTTGAGCAACTGCCGAAACCTCCAATGAAGGCAGCATCACTACAGTGACTAAGTAAGCCCAAATGAGGGAAACCTTCAGGAACGATAAGGCTCACAAGAAAAGAACGATACGGTTTTAGTGCATGTTGTCAGGTGTGTCCAAAAACATCAGGAACGACAAGGTTTAAAGAAAAATACGATAACATTGGGAAGAGTGCGTACTACAACACACAGAGGTTTTGCACGTCACTCATTTGTTGACCAAATGGGCCGTTCTCAGCGCGGCGCACTTTTTATCCTAGCCCAGCAGGGGCGGAAAGCTGTTTCAATGCGATATAGATTTAACAAACAAGAACTGGTGCCAAGTTAGGATAGTATAGCATAGTATAACTGCATACCTGGATCTTCTAACTATGCCAAATATTTGCTTAACTTTGGCTGTTTCTTTAAAATTGATGAACAGGTAAAAGGCAGACAAAAAGTAATTGAAAGATCCAGGTACAACTTCATGATTCTCATTCTCAGACCGAACACCCCCACTGGCGTCCTCGACTCTGGACAGGTCGCCCGATGCCAGAGGCCTGGGCAGCTGGGTGGTTCCAGCTCCTGATCGCAGAAATGACCGTCCAAAGGGATGCCAAGCATGCTACAGCTATAGCATCAAATAGATCATATGGAGGAATAGTGTGCCGAACGAACGGAGGAAGTTGGGGTGCCCGAGCGCCACATCCACGCACTGGATGGGAATACAACCTCCCCAGAATCTGACTCCTGGAAGGTGTACCATTTAAAGCAATAACTTTTGTTAACTTGCATGTATATGTTTTTTCTAGCTTCTTTCCATCCTTCGGATCATGCCGATGGTTTCCTTCCTTTTCGACGGCTGGATGATCCACATGCGGCTATCCGCATGCCGCCCCGAGGGCGACGTGGCCAATGGACACGAGGGCGGCGAGGAGTTGCTCGGGACTCCCAAGCTGCGAAGAAGACGCCCAGGGGGTCCACAACCCCAAGCGTTTGTCGTGGTGATGCCATGGAGGTTGATGCCAGCGTCTGGAGGTTGATGCAAGAGTCGTTGATGCCATGGATTGGCGTACTAAAGGGACGGTAAACCTTGGCAGTTGACAGCCCAGAACTATGGACTTCCTGCAAATTTCCCCTAAAGCCTATTCCGGGACCAAAGAATCCTGTCCTTCAAGGGTGCTGTTTCTTTTGTCCCGTGCTTCCAGATGTGTCTTTTTACCTCAAGATGTTCGGCTAGATGGGGCTCGCACCACCTCTTGGGATTTGTGCCATCAGCCCGTTGAATTTCACGGGCGCTTCAGCGGTGCAGACTGGAGCTGTGATCCAGCTGTGTCGCAAGGATCCGCTCGGACAGTGTCCCAGTCGTATGGTCTTCTGTTGGAATCTCACATGGAGACCACAGAAGAACAAGTCGAGTGTGGTCTGGCCAAGTCGTATGGTTGTTGGCTACACGGAGAGAAGAACCAAGAGTACCCACGGCCAGCAGATGTTTGCCATGCTATGTTCTATTCAATCTCAAGTCTGTAGAGGGTGTTTCTTATTGCCCTGTAAGTGCCCAGTCATCCTGGCTTTGGCAACTTGTGCACCTGCTGAGGCCCTCGTCCATTCTGGATGTCATCGAGGCGGGGGTGTCATGCCAGTATACATGCCGAATGGATTGGTTCTGAGAAAGAAAACAATGAATGAATAACTATATATATGTTCTAGAAGTGTGTTTGATGTTTGTCCTGAGTCCTTACCTTTTTGTTTCTCCCTTTGTTTTCGTTTGACTCCTGTTCAACTGGGACCACTGTGCCTTGGATGGCCAGATCCACATCCATCGAGGCAGATGTTGCCCGGACCTTTCCCAACGACGACAAGTTCCAGGAAGGGCAAAAGGGAGTCCAGCAACGGAGGTTCGCCACTCGCAGGTGAAAGGCCCGGAAGCAGCAGGATCAGCCAGTGCTCGTTGTGGAAAGGTTTGCTCCTGGATGACTGGCTCCAAAAAGCAGCAAGCAAGACTTAAATATATGATTTATGGTTCAAAATCGCATGAACCGCCAGGGCGGTGATAGGGTGCTCAATTCTCCACAGGTGCTCGGAGAACCCACATAAACCGCGCATGGATGAGACATGATGAGAATGATTGCACCACATTCTGGGTCGCAGCCTTCGCATCTAGGCCTCTAGGCCTCTTACCTCGGCTTCTTGTGTTCAGACAGGCTGCCCCTGCATAGAATTGCAATACACCCGTGTGTATGATATGCATTGTATATCAGCATATGTCAGCATCTTTTACAAGAACGATGCAATCCAATTGTTTAGCCAGCAGCTGAGATCATATAGTGCCAATTATAACGAAACATTGAACTGTTGATTTGCTTGAAATCCCCACCTTGAAAGCCAAAGAATACATGAATGAACACAGGAAGGCAACATGAGATAAGCTAGCCCTTCCGCGTACGATATGTTTAAAGGACCCTCCCACATCTCCCACACAACGACTGTCCCACAGAAGTTCGTGCCCTCTACGTGCCATCACATCGAGAAAATTGAGACTTCAGCTGTTTTTGGGGCGCTTTCTGCATGAACCGCACCCAAATCCCATACCAGTGCCCCTTCATTCTGTTCATTCATAGACACCCCATTGCGGTTTTTGGGCGGGGGGGCCGACTCGTCAGGAGATGGGTGGCCCTGACCACCTGCGTCTCGTGCGGTACCGAGCCGCGGCGAAGCGCTGCGCGGTGTTGAGCGATGGCCGGCCGGGGCGGTGTGCCGCGTGGAATGAAGACCTGTTGTTGCAGGTGTTTGTCAGAGCAGATGGCACAGAATTCTTATATAAATTGAAATCTAAGAACATGATCTTGCCATCCAAACTCTGAAACCACTGTAGAGGATTGTAGAGGCATTTTGCGTCACAAGACCCATTGACCCATTGACCCGGTCCGTGGGCACCAATGGTGGTGGTGTGGCCACCACAAGGGAGTTTAACATAGGAACTTCTTGTAAGACAGGCTGTGGGTCCAAACGTCAGATGTGTCCAGCAAAACACCTGGTGTCGTAGCACCTCCCATGGCCCATGGCACGCCGGTGGACCAGTGGAGACTCCAAACGCCTGCCGTTGGCGCGTCCGTGCACTGCGCGTCCGTGCGATCGATCGGGCCATCAGAGGTGCTGGTGGAGTTGGCCCGTCAGGACATGGAGTTGGGATACTGTCAGCTGGGAGCTCAGGTGGTGTGGACCGGTGATGACGCCGAGATTTGACGCTGAGATTGTGTGGTCAGCTCGAGAAATCAATGTCAAGCAGAATTTGTGCAATTTGCTGTTTTCTCCTGGGGGTTTGGAGGTAGTGGGCCACCAATTTCAACAGGAAAACCACAGGACCGGGAATGCAAATAGCCAGAGCTGGGCTAAGAGATTCATAGAGATCCGTGGAACTTGCCAAATCAGGGTGTATGTGTGAAACATATTATCGGTATTACATCCATAAATATTCACATGATGTCCCTGAAAGAATCATATGGCTACATGGATGGCACCAGCGCTTTGGCCTTCGGATGTCCGGAAAATCCGAGGCCTCGGGAAAATCCGAGGCCATGAGGGGCCAGGGCCCCTCCCTGAAACAATCATGGAAGCGGAATACACCCTGTTCGTAGAGGAAAACAGTCTTCCTTTCGGGGCCATGTTCCATTTCCATGTTTGTTGGATGGAGGGTATATCACCGTATATTACCATATCCCACGATTCTTCCAGGGAGTGTAAGGATCCCGGTGTTCAGATTTGATTTGAGACCCAGTTGGTTGCCCGGAAAGTGATGAAAAGTGAATATCCCCTCGATTTCTTCACCTTTGCACTTAGCACATTGAAGATTGAGGACAGGCGAGCCTGGGGATTCGTGGATGAAAGCAACATTGCATGTCCGCACTGTATCTGCAGGTGTCTTGCAAAGCTACGTAGGGTTTGCGGTCAAAAGTTCCTATAAAATAAATGTCAAAAAGCCTGAAGCCTCCTTCGCTACAAGCAAGCATCTTATTTCTAAAAGTGCTTATTCAAGCAAAAGCGCTACAGTCACTCAAGAACACGCATGAAACCATCTTGTTTTCAACCCTTTTGGGGGTGGTTGGCAACTTGTTCAATATGTGTGCATGTTGCGGCCATTTACGTTGCTTTTGCAGGTTTCCACCTTTGGCCCAAGAAAACTTCCGGCAGCAGCTCAAAACATGCTCAAAACCCTTCAAACCTTCAAAAAAACGCGCACATTGCATCAAGAAGGCAAAAGTCCAAGATTGCTCAATGTGTCAAACCACAGGTTCGCAAGAAACTGGTGCTACAAGTGAAGGTTCGGGGGGGAACTCCGTTTTGAAAGAAAGAGCCATAGCTGGTTCCGCTTCCATGGCGCCGTGCAGTGCAGAACATCCGGTTCCCGGTGTGGAGGGAATGGGACTGGAGGTCCACATGCTGGGCTTCGCGAATCGCGACAGGGACGACCTGCGCCTAAGGTCCTTGAACTTCATCGCTGCCAACTTCCTCATGGTTTTACACACGCCAGAGATGGCGTGGACACTTGGAGTGGACGCCGAAAGGCTTGGCCAAGGTCTGGCTAAGGCGGGCGATATGGCCAAAACCCTTCGCAATTCATGCCGCGGCGAAGCCACAACCCTGGTCCGTATACCGATTTGAAGCAGGCATAAGCAGGAGTTTTTGTTGGTCATGAGTCATGCGGTTGAACGAACGAGTCTGGCAGTCTAGTCGGGGTCGAGGGGCCAAGAACTCCAGTTGTTGACGTTGGGTTCAAATGGTCCAACCTTTGTCTCCAACCTCCGTGGACGCCACGGGATGCGACGTGTCCGGTCCCGAAGACCTATACAGAGCGGTGCCCACCCGGTACCAGTGGTCTTCGCATCGTTCATGAGGTTCAATGATCCGGACATACCCTGCCCAGCCCTTGAAATATTTGGCGGGGGGTATGTCAAAGAAATGCAATAATAAATTTCAGGCACACGTCCCTGAATCCTGACAGTAGCTAGACTTCTGGAGGCAATATGCCCAGGAAAGTGTTCGGAGCTAGGAGTGTTGCACATATTATATGTCCTGCCGTTGGATTGTGTAGGTTTCACTGGCTCAGCCTGACCTGAAACATATATAGTTTTCGACCTACCTTTGGTACAGCCACGCCACATCACACCAACGAAAAAATAGATTCTTTGTGGGACCTATGACCTATGCGTACCCTGATAGGGGAAGCACACTTTCACGATCACGTTGTCGACGTGTTACAAAACGGTCAAACGGTCCTCGTGTTTCTGTCCTTTTTTCGCTTCAGCACCTAGGCTGTGAGTGCCGTTCGCCAGTTGATCATGAAGCTGCAGCAGGGATGCCTGGTGATCACGACCCATGGAACCAGGTGCCGTTTGGTGCACTTTGTTGGCTGGTGGAACTGAGGTATGCTGCTACAGCGGCGGAATAGGACCTTTCACGCAAGGTCTAGGGGTTTTGATGTTTTGGTCGATGTTTTTAGGCTTCTCCCGTCCCAACTTGAAGTGCTTCGAACTTCTAACGGCTTCTTTGTAGGCTCTTTTTAGATTTGGCTCCTTGCCAGATCTTTGGAGGACTCACTCGTCCAATAAAGGGCCCTCCTTCACCACAAAGGCCCCTGTGAGGGCCATCAAGTGACTGGAGGGCGAGTGTCCAGTGACACCAGCGAATCCAGGCCCCTGAACCCTGGGCCCGGTGTCCACTGCTTGGGCCCAAGCCCCTCTTACCACAACGGCCTTTGGAGGACTCGGCAGTGGTACATGGAGGGCATGCGCCAGCTTCGTTGGGGCCCCAGGATGCACACAGCAGTGCTGCGGTCGGCGGGTGTTTCTTGAGATGCTCTAGCAGGCTGGAAGCTGAAGCGCACACACACAGAAAAAAAACACAAACAAACACATGCTTGGCTTGATTCGAGAGCTGGTGTGGATGGGTGTGGTGTGTGTAAATCGGAGTTCGAGATGTTGTGTGTGGAAGTGAGCTGCCTCCTGTAAGGTCCTGTAAGTTCGAGTTTCGATTACCGGAGCATGGTGGGTCAATGACCCACCCGCTGTTTTCAGCATGGATAAAAGAAATCCAGGTGAGTTGGCCTAACAAAACAAGGTGGACATCGATCCTGATCCTGTGGGGCTCAAACAAAACCGTGATTGGGATTATTCTTGTTTCACTTGGGCCGCTGGGCCCCACTCAACACGCTTGATTTCTGCACGTGTTTGCAGGAATCTGTGGGGGATCAATCACCAACTCAGGCGCTGACACCGCTGTGCTGGAGGCGAGGACAGTGCTGGACTGACACCAGCCCTCAGAGCACGACGACTCCAGACACCGATCCTGATTTACAGAGTCCCTAGGGCTCCAACTATTTCCTGAAAGGATGGTTGGGGTGGGTGCCAGGGGGATCTAACATGGTGTAACCACCTTCTGAGGATATGCTTGGAGCCGGAGTGCGATGTTTGTCCCCTGACACCATCGACGATCTGGCAATTTGCCTCTACAAGACTTGACAACTAGCTGGCGAGACAAGGGTCTCCAGTTCTTCCCTATGGGGCTATCCAGTTCTTCCCGGTGAAAAGCAGGGAGCCGTCTTGCTCTTGGCGTTCGTTGAATCCTTTGTTGTTCGTGATCCTGATTTTACCCATGGAGACCCACGCGCAGTGCGCCGGCTCTGCTCAGGGCGCGACATGCAGTTGCACGTGCGCATGCCGGTGGATTGGATACTGTCATGTTCCTGAGAGTCCCTGGTAGCAACTGTGTGTGTTTCTCTCCTCTGGCGACTTATTGCCAATGACGCGCAATTCTTGGAGAGGCGCAATGTCTTCAGAGTTTCGTTGTGATGTTGTGTGCAAAGTGCAGCTGGAAAAATGGAGACCTGACCACTGTTACCTGGAAACCAAAAAGACATGGATGTTTCCCCAGTCCCAGCCATTTCCTGTCTAAAGGATCTCAATTGCCATATAACATTGGAACAACCATGAGCAACCATTTGTTTCTGGTTGTTTGGGTTTGGTATACAACTGTTTGAATGTTGAGATTCAACCATTCAACCCATGAGATTCGATCAACTCGAAGCGGTGCGGTGTCCACCCAACAAAAACACACCGTTTTTTTGCTCAATGCAGACGGAACTGTAGACTCTTGATTGATAACCCCCTCCGACGGGAAGAGGTTGAGCCTCAAGAGTCTATACATTTATATAGATGAATACAGACCTATACTTTTTATGGACTCTCTATGAGAGTCTATGACCATATGGTCTCTAAAAAGCGCGGTGCCGCATGACCATCACCACACTTTTGCTGACCGCAGGAGATGCTCCGCGAGCGGCTGCCAGCAGTACACCAGGTGCTGGTGCAGCATCAGTACCCTGGACCCGATGCATCGGGTGCGACGGGTTCCATCCTGCCGAGGTTCAGCTTCAAACGGATGTGGAGGTTGGAAGTGAACATGTTCTTGTAACCCGCCGGAAAGTATGAAACGGGTTCCATGTATGAAACGTTGCCTCACAAGTTTAGATGGGAGGCCCTAGTGAGCTTGGCCTGCCACAGACGGGAGACAATTGCAGACAGTTATGGCCGTTCTTGTCCTGGTTCTCTTTTTACAGCAACCATCGTCATCAATTGCTACCCAGACCACTGAGCTGAGTCTTTTTTCTTTACTGAGCCGCTAGTGTTTCAGGGTTCCTGGTTCCAAGACACATCCATATCCTGGATTCACCCCAAGAAACTAACCTTTTCATGCATCACAGCTTTTTCACAGCAAGTTGCGGATCTTAATTTTTTTGGGGGGGTCACTGCTCTTGCATTCTTCTTTCTTTCTTTCTTTCTTTCTTTCTGTGTGCGCACGGTGTCCTAAGACTCAGCGCCTTGCTGACGTGAATTCTTAATTAGACGCGGATTAAAATCGGGCCCTTCTTGACAATGTGTTTCCACCTCAGACACATACATGGCTTTAAGCCAGGTCACGTCTGAAGGTGGGGGTCCCGACACGCGAGTTGCTCCCAGCATCCATCGATCGAACATCTGTGCCAAAAACCTACAAAAGTCACGTGGGTACTCCGTAAGGGAACTCGTAGCCCAACTGCGACCTTCCAGTCTGATCGAAGCTGCTTTGGGGCAGCTCGAAGTTCTACTCTCACTCTCTAAGGCTGAAGTTGTTTCAGCCGAAAGACCTGCTATGAGTAGATTTGTTGGTTTGGCGCTTTTAGCGCCGAAATGTCCTTGCATCACTCTCAGATGATGGAAAAGCTCCGCTTGCTTTAGCCATTGCATCAAAGCCGTGCCCCAGACATGACCTACATCGACACCTAGAGGCTCTTGTGTCCTTGGATCGATGACAAAATTGCCCAAAAATGTTGGCCTGTCGTCCGCGTGAATTGCCTGATAAACAGAGCCAATGTCAGAATCATGCACTTGGCAGTTCGTGGACGAATGGCAATGGCCTTCTTCAGTTCCATTAGGAATCATAGCTCTACTGTCCCCCTCACAAGGCCAAGAAGAGGGACTAGTTTCACTCTCGCAGAAGGTGGCCTCTGGTAGGGCACTTCCTCCCGCAGCGGGACCCAGCAGTGCATCTCCGCTTTGGTCTCCTGTCTCAGTTCTCTGTTCAATTGGGCCCCTATCAGGAGCCCTTGGGCTGTCAGGACAATGCATAATGCTCTGCACAGGATCACGTAATGCCGGACTGCTGTGGTTATGCAGTCTATCGTTTTCATTCAACCCACTAGCTGAGCTCAGATTGCCAACGAACATAGCACCCTGTTCACAAGAATGGAAAACTTGAGTGGCATGCGAACTTGCTATGTTGAGGCACATGAAAACAGCCTTGAGTTTTATGCCTTGAAGTCTAGGTCGAATCACACTTTTGCGCGAATTGCCGATTAATCTGCAAGGACCTATCCTATCGCATCTCCACCTTAACCCAAGTCTCACAAACAAAAGCGAAAAAGCTAGTGTAGCTTGGACCTGGATTGCAATGGAAAGATAGTCTGGCCGGATATGCACACCGCCACTGACGAAGATTTGACATGACACAACTTGAATTGCGACCAGCAGAAAATACCCGATCAAGATCCACTGGACGAGCTTGCTTCTTTGATCTGAACCTCTAAGAGGTCGGCCCTGAAGCAAAAAATGCATAAGTGGACATGTTCGCCCAAATGCATAGCAGAGTATGCACAAAAACAAAGTACTTACCCCAGCGAAAAAGGTCGATTGCGACGAACTGTCACGATTGAGAGTATCAGCATTTATTCCAAAAGTGACCTCATCTAACCAAGACAAATTGTCGATTCCTCTAGGCACATAGTCCCCAAGGATTCCATTCAAGTCGAAAGCTGACTCATGAAGGTCGGTTGCAGTCCAATGGCATACCTCTGTACCCTTCAGAATGGCGTTTCGATGCCCCCTCAACCCCACAATGCATGTCGCCCCTTGAAAAATGGCGCCAAGTGCACCGTCGGGAAGAGGTTCATATTGCATGAAGCCATGATCCAGTCCGTAACCAACGGACTTCTCGCCTCCACTTCGAGCAGAATGCACGAAAAAAGGCTCATAAGTTTGGCTTCTCACTTGTCGAGCCTCTCCAGTGAGTTGGAGGGTTCTCTCCTGGGACTCCTTGATGTACTCCTTGAACGAACAGGAACAGGAATGGATTGTTCCAGCAGCCGAGCAGCCCTGGCTGCCGCTTCGTCTGGAAGAATTCTCACCGACGCTGTTGGTGGAGTTCGCGTCAGCTGCGGCGAAAGATCGTTCGGCATTCCTTCCGGCCTCGTCATTTCCATTGCTCCAACATAGCTGTCGACCCGTTGCTGAAGATTCCTCATAATAGCGTGAGTACGCTCGAGCTCCCTCTTCAGTGCTTCTTTTTCCGCATCCTCGACTGCCATGCTGTCGCTCCCATCTGTTTCTTTCATTACAATCTTGTTGAGCTCTTTCTGGGCTTCCGAGAGGGCTTCTTCCAGAGCTAGCAAGTCTGAGGCATGCTTCTCCTTTTCCTTTTTTCGATGAGCCTCCATTGCATCCAGAAAAATGCTCCACGCCTCCTTCTTCTCGGCGTGCTTCTGTTTCAACTTCTCTATTCTCCCAATAGTCTTCTTTTTGAGATTCAAGCTCCTCTGTTCTGACTTGATCTCTTCCATGGTGTTGGGGTCGCTGTGCAGCAATTCTACAATGTGTGCATCCACCGCGATATCCTTTGAAGCAAGGAATTCTCGCATTTCCTTCTTGATCTCCTCGACTTCCTTGGAGTCCTTGGCTGCAGAGGAAGAAGAGGATGACTGCAAAGACTCGTATGCGGGAAAGGCATCTTCTGCCTTTTCGTTCTTCTTTGCACCCTTGTCTGGCTTCACTTGTTTCTTGGGCTTCGGGCCTTTCGGCTGCCCTTGCTGCTGCCATTTGCTCCACCATGGCTTCCCTTGAGCTCCTTTGTATTGACCTCCCCATCCCATGGGTTGTACGTAGCTGTGATGCTCCTGCAAAATGCGTTGGGCTCTCACCAGCCGTCCAATGAGGTCGTGAGACAGGTGGGTTGTCTTCTTAGCCCTTCTTACCAGTCCTCTCGCCTTTGCTCGTCGAGAGCGTTCGCGCCGGTGCCAGCTGGGGCTTTTTCCACGAGGTATTGTTGCAGTTCGGCTCCAAGTTGTAGCTGTCGACCCCACCACCAAGCAGCTTACCATTATGGCTATCCGCAACGAGCGCAAAAAACGCAAAAAGTCGAACCCACAAGTAGGTTCTGGGGCCCAATATACGCACCGCTAATGGTGCGAGTTGAGCCCTACTGCTCTTGCATTAAAGAAATTAAACATCAAACATATCCCAGACACTCCATGTATGCCATATATGCCTACATTGACCCCCCAAAGCACCCCAATTGATCGGCATATATGGCATACATGGAGTGTTTGGGTATTTGTCATAGTCGACCCAATGCATTTTGAGGGTATTTATATGAGTTGACTAGCTGTATCACCCTGACTGGGGTTGAGAAAAGTTGTAGACAGAACACCATGTTTCTTCTGTATGGAGGTAGACAGGGCCGCCATGTATTATATGTATATTATATGTATATACCGTATCAGTCTGTTGATCGCTGATAGCATTTCCGTTCAATCCAAGTGGCATGAACTCCTTTGCGGTTTTGCCATCAGCTGTAGGAGCTTCCATTGATTACAAACATCCTCTCCTTAGTCCTTACCCTCGCCCTCACCCCCCACACGCTGCGATCACGACACTTGGGTTTGTTTGGGGAACTCTGCACTTATCCCAGTAAATTGAATTAATGTAGACTCTTGATTATATGTCACCCCCCATTGACAAGGATTTCCAATTAAATTGGGTTGGTTTATTAATTAACAGCAGCTATATTAACAGTACTCAGTGGTTTCAGAGGTCTACCTTGCGCGTAGATCCACCACCCCGACATGATGTTTTTGTTGGACCCGCCAAGCGGGGTCCACATGTGGCCCAGACGTATACCATCCAACTCTCCATCCACTATATACAGACACGACACATGGGACTGCCATATAATGCCAATCAGTTGGGGTGGTGCCAGGCGGGGTCAATTGATCGGCATATATGGCAGTCCCATCAGTCGTGTCTGGGCTATATAGACTTTTTTCCCCCCTACAGCTTGGCCAAGAAACATCCTGAGTTTTCCACCCATATCACGAGGTTCGACTTCCTCTTCGTGACCTCGAAATGGCTCCTCTTCTCAAGAGCCGAGCCACGTCGTGCGCGGTGGTGAGTCGGGTGAGTTTGGTGCCCGTGGGGTCGAGGGACAGGGGCACCTGCCAAAGGCACCTGCCACAGGGCTGGAGAGACCTGTGTAATCCCATGTGTATAATCCTAGTGGACGGTCTTTTGAAGCTAGCATCATCTACTCTCCCTGGAATTAACATGGAAGTGGAAAACCACCTGTTTGTAGTGGAAAATGGTCTTCCAAGGGGCCATTCTCCACTTCCATGTTAGTTACAGGGAGTGTACATATATACCAACTCTTCAGGGATCAGGATTCGGCATCGATGTTTGTTTCTGAGATGGGCGCTTATTGTGGGCTTGTTTCTGAGATGATTCAGATCTATTCAGATTGTTGCTCTTTTGTTTGGGCACATCCATCAGCTCGGCACGGTGAGACGGAGCCGTTCTGAACGAGCGGTTTCTCGGCTGGATCGTACAGGGTTCCGTACAGGGGCCTTGGGGCCTGGGGGCCTGGCTGAAGGGCTGGGCCCAAACAGTAGGTATTCTGTTCTATCAGGTCCTTTCTAAGATATAAACTATAGAACCTATCTAGAATCTGATTGCAACCTGATTCAAACACGGGAGTAAATGTTGAATGCGCGGTTTTAAATGGCGTGGTCGCACATCTTTGCACAGGGCCTCGCACATGTTTTGCGAGATGTTTCAAGACTTCGACGCTTTCACAGCACGCCGCACCTGTTCACTTCACGCCAGGTTCCTGTGCCTTTTTGCGGCCACGCTCTCCGACGAGGCGAGGCGGCCACGCGCGAGCGGGCCAGCGCCAGCCCGCTGCCCAGACGCTCTGTTCACCGCCGTGTCGCGGTGCAAACCCCATGTAGAGACCCCCAGACCGCCCCAGACCGTTCCATCCTGCGGGTCCATGAGCCATGAGCGTTTGGGTGAATGCTCTGAGCATCCTGAATCCAGTTCTTTCATGTTTTCAGAGGTCATTAGACCAGTTCGGTCACAGACCCATGAGCCATGCAAAGCCAAAATAGGTGGACGAAAGCATGTGGAGTACTCTGAGGTACTCTCTGAGGAACACACCCACCATGCCCCGAATCAATTCGTCGACACTTGAAAACGAACGGCGGGAGGAAGGAATTCAATCCACAGAACGGCTGCTGTCTTCAATGGGAGTGACGCTTTCTCAAACGCGGATTTCGTCGAAAGAGACGCCGAAGGTCGGAAGGACGGACGGACTGGAGGGGCCGGGGCGGGGTCCCCCATCGGAACTGACGTGTAATTCATATAGACTCTTCATCACAGATGTTTGGGACCCTAGTCGATTCCGGATAATGAAAATTAAGTCCCACATGAAACTTGAAGAAGCCTCTTGCCGTGCAGATGAATGGCATATCCAGGGAAATGCCCTCGCAGACAAGGCCGCAGGCCATTCGCGAAGTACTGACGACCCTGAATTCTCACATTTGTGCCAACAGATCCGCAAGCACCGCCAGCAGCAACACAGTACATTGCTTCTAGTGTATAATTACTTGGTCGCCTTTGCGCATAAACGAAGGGATAAATTAGCCTCGATGTCCGAGAGCGATGCCGTACCGAATGCTTCATTGGCGCCTACTGCCCGGAATACCTCTACGGTATTCACACGCACACTCCGCATCATCACATCTTGGACGGTGGCCGAACCTCATTACCAGTATCCTCCTGAACCACATCGTGTGGTCTTCTGGTGTAGCCCCTGGGGAGTTAATTTGACCCGTATGGTTTGGGAATTCTGCTCCACTCTACGGTGGCCTGACCCGGCACAGCCGACCACCCCCAACGATTATTGCATCTCTTGGACCGAGCTAGCTCCGATCCCAAGGTGCAAATCTTGCCGGTCAAAGCACGATCCCTCCGAGTGCTTGCAACTTTCGATGGATTATCAAACATATCCAGACGTTCTCGCGTACTAAACTAATCCCAGTCTATAATCAGGGAATATCTTGCCTTCGTTGCCTTACTAGACTTGGATTTACTTCATACCATGAAGGTGGAATCTCGCGGAGACCTTCCCTGCCCAATAGTGAAGCTACTTATAAATTCATCGAAGATATGTTAATGCACATGCCACACGATCCACCATACCATACAGAAATCCTGTTACCTACACTCCCTGAGGACTTGCCCATTCGACCTTGGCCTACGTGGGATGAGGTGCCCCCCGAAAAGCAAGAAAAATATATCCAAAATGTACGGAAGGCCCTGTTCCGAAACAAACCACTTGACTCTGTCCGTTCACCCTTTAATTAGATGCCTAATTCCGACTTAATTCCTCAAATTAGCACTTGGTGAGATTGCACAACATTCGTCCTTGTTCACCGTGGGTTTGCCATCCCACTGTTGCCGTTCTTTCGTGCCGTAGATTCCTTTTTCGTGTTTTGGTTGTTGTACAGGTGACGTTCGTTCTTCTGACCTACTCTACTTACACCCGCTGTAAAACACAGCAAGGGGTAACGTAGAAGCGTCTCTGAACCGCAAGTGAGCGCATCCAAATAGGGGGAGGTGTTCTTCATCAATTGAGTCTACATCTCCTACACCTCCAACCATACCCTCCAGGTTCGGTGGTTAGACCCCCCCCTTATACCCACCCCAGTCCCACCTTCCCAGGAGGTGGTTCTTCATCTATACAATCCAATGCACGCCGCACGGATCGGCAGGTCTTGCGCCGCGTGTGGGACGTGCTCTTGGTGGATGGGATCGAGGCGGTGTGGATCGGGACGTTTGTAGCGAAGCGAGCCGCGGAGGCAGAAGAGAAGCGCTGTGTCTGGGAGCTGTTTGGCGGCAGGAGCTGTTTGAGGCAATGGCCTTTTTTCTGGGAGCAGCATGAAGAAGCATGAAGAAGTGATGACGTCCTGAAGGCCTTCTTTCGCCATCCTCAAGTCCTTAAAGCCTCCTGTTGAGAGATGTTTGAGGATGTTTATTGCAAAGTGATGTGGGTCAAACAATGCCTTGAAAGGTCCAAACAGAATTCGGGAATGTGGTGGTGGACACATCATTCAGCATTCTATCAATTCTAACATCATTCTATCATATTCTATCCACGATGCCTCCCAGACAATTTATGTTCTACATATCCCCACTGAGTCTGCACAGGCCAAAACCGCGGAGAGTTTCTGACTCTGGTCTTGAAAGCATCAGCTGATCATATGTGCCCAAAGGCCCTTAGAGTAGCAGCCATGTGGCATGTGGCCTTGTTCCACTGCAGCATCACATCATGTCGCATCCATCGAGGTCCATCAGACTCATCAGACTTCCAAAAGCATAGCACACAACGTGACGTCGTCATCGAGGCTTTTGAGGTCATTGACCACCAGGTGCTAACAGGACACCCACACCGAGGTACTACCGACAGGACAACCACCCACTCAGCCCACATGGCGCGTTTGTGAGGCTGTTTTCCGAGTTTCACTTTCGTTGTGGCAGCCTGAGGAAATTGGATGGGTGGTGCTTGACGGAAGTCAATTCTGCAACCGTGTGCACATGAGCTTTCGCATGTGCTTTGCACTGACCGAACATTGAATCGCTTTGACTACCAAATGTCGAGTTGCTTTCGTGTATTCCAGCAGCTTCCTTGTTTTGTCCAGACCGTCCGACCGCCGAACTTCTGGACGTGGTCAGACCGTCAAACTGATCATCTACCCGTTTTGCAGAGGAACATGGTCTTCCAAGGGGCCATGTTCATTTGTCCACTTCCATGATGGTTCTGGGGAGTGCACTTCTTGAACCCATTGTGCTTATATAAAAGCCATAAAAGAATCCGATGTGCCTAGGGTCCTAAGGGAAGCTACTCCCTTGGATCACAAATGCCACCGACTTTCAATAGAGAGAAACTGAATTAAACTTCCCTAGAGCTCCAAGTACCTCCTCAGAAGGTATTTGGACCCTCTTGGCACCCACCCCAGTTCGATCTAACGAAGGTACGGCTGGAGCCCTAGGGCTTAGAGGGCCACGAGCATATCGTGGATCCAGCACCTTGGACCGGATCATTGGTTTCGCATGTCTTCCAACACCGGACCAACACCCCGCAACATCCACGACCACTACCGGCATTTTTGGGAAAGCACATCCGGAAAAAGAGGTTTTCTCCTGCAGCTTGGCTCCAGATTTCTCGACACCCATGACCCAGCTACTGACCAGCGCTTCGATTCAAGCTACAGCGCTTGAGGCAAAGCGTAGTGAAGTTCAGAGGCTTCGAACAGAACTTGCCCAGTTGCAGTTTCTATCCCAAGAACTTCGACTTCAACTTCATGCTTTGGGCGCGGATGATTCCGTGGTGCCGGAGAAGATCAGGGCTGGACATGGAGGTTTGTCCGCTCAATTTCATCAGCTACGCTGCCTTTTCGATTGGCTTGTGAAAGCGGTGAACTTGGAACAACCCATGGCCTTTGAGTGCGATGCTGAGCTTCACATCCGCGGTCGACTGGTACGGCTTCGGCACATGGTCAGCTGGCCACTACTGGACGGTATGAGGTGACCAGGGCAGAAGTCATCGGCAGCTTTTCTTTTGCGCAGGTGTCCTACTTTCTGGCAGTCCCTTCCTTCTAAAATGATTAAAGTGGGAGAATCATGGAGAATGTTGGACCAGAACTTCCACACACCCCATGGCCCCCATGAAGTCAAGCCAAATGCATTCTGGAAGATTCCCTGGAACCTGAGTTCACCACGCCCGGTTTGCAAAGGAACCTCGTCTTCCAGTTTGGTCCATGCCGGGCCACGCCCGGTTCCATGTAGGTCTTGGAACCCGGGTATATGTTGAGCAGGGACAGATCCTCATATCATGTCATTGGCTCACTAATCGACTGTTGCTCTCAGGGATGTGATGTCCAAGTGTTGCTCTCAGGTTATCCGTGCCCAGGGAGCTTCAGGAGGAGGTCTTTGGACTGCTGGCGCGGCTGACATGCAAAACGCGTGGTCTCGGCCGAGACTGCGGATCCCGAAGAGGTGATGAAGTAGAAGCTGCAGAAATAGATCAAGTAGAGAAAGAACTCCAGAAGCTGCAGAGCACTTGGGAAACCTGGATGAATTGATGAATTCTCATGAATCGTCCTTTTTGACCTTTTTGTTTTCATTTTGGTCTTTCACCCTGAATCCTGGCATCCAGATCAGCAAAGAAAAGGGATGAACAAAGGGAGCTTTTGAGGACCAGAAGTTGGACCCAATCCCAGGAACTCTTGTCTGTAGAGATGACTTCAGACACCAAGAACCAGGCAGCGCCTTCACCGGCCATGTTTCTCGTCCACCGACACCGAGAACCAGGCAGCGCCTCCACCGCCATGGTGGTGGCACGCTGGCCGGAGCCAGGTGTGGGGCGCCCCCCATTCGATGTCGAAAGGCATTTCAGGCGACTCCAAGTGGCCCGAGGCGAACGAGTGGAGGTGCGGTGGTGATGTGAGGACGTTTGGCCTTCCAGCTGCTTAAAAAGGGGGGTCAGCAATGGACAACCCTACTCTACGTTAATAGGTCTCCAGACAGGGCACCCAGACAGTGCTAGGTTGATTATTTGAATATTATTTGATTAAGAACCCCCCTTACGCGGGGATTGTAAGACCCTGATTATGTGCGAGGGGGGTTGATTAATCAAGAGTCTACATAACACGAAAATAACTTCAAAAAAAAATAGTGCGCGGACCATGAAACCGAAGGTCGACAGGGCTTTGGTCTAAAATATGTTAAAAGCATCACCCCAAAAACAATCCTGGAATCATCTTGAATGTAATATATATATATATAGTTACTACCTTAGTTATTTCATGTTATTTCCATTACGAGTCATTGAGTCATAGAGTCATACATATTCACAAATGATTGTGTATGCATGCAACTATGTAACTATTCCATCCATGGAGGGTTTAGCATCCTTTGACTTCTTTCTTTCGATGCCCTTGGGGGTCTTCACCGGTTGCAAGACCACCGAGCTCACGGCGAGCCTTCCCAACGAACGCGTCGCAGGTCGAATTTGAAGGGACTTGGTTCAGCGGGACCTTGCAAACGCTTCTACCTGGTGCTTGGGCACAGGTGCAGTGTGATGTTGACTGCCCTGGCATCATCACCATGGCACCACTGTCCTCCTTGCGACGGACCGGACCGGGCAGGCCGGTTCAAGGTCAAAGGCGACGTTCGAGGTCAGTGGGCTGAAGGATGCGGAAGGTTTGGGACTTCATATGAGCTGAAGCGGAAGTTTGTCTTAGAGCAGGCATCTTTTGGCGAACTCAGCTGTTTCCAAATGTTCCAAGCTTGGAATGTACAGTTTTTTCGGGGTTCTTAGGCAACTCCATCGTGTCATGTCCTTTTGATGGCTGACTCTCCGTTCAAACCGTGGCCCACTGCTGAAAGTGGCTAGAGGGCCGCCGTCTTCCAGGACGGGTCCTTGTACAAAAAATCAGGATGTCGGGTGTTGGTGACGTGATGGGCGCGGCCGGAACCGCCAAACCTGGGATTGGAGTCTTCATCTCCTCGTGTTTTCGCTTGCTTTAAATGATACAAAAAGGATCAAAAAAGCGAACAAGGATCCAACTTGGACCAGAGTAATGTAGACAGGATGAATCAAACCCCTTGTCTCCAACATGATTTTTAGGAGTGTGTGACTCATCAGGTTAGATTTGTTTGGACTCCTTTTCACCACCAGGTGCCCATCCCGACGTGTCATGACGGGTGTCACCAACGCTCCGACGCTTTGACGGCGCGCCGCAGTGCGCCGTCACATGTGTGGACAAAACACCATCCAGCGACCGATGGGAGGGCTACGACGCGTCGGGGAAATGTAGGGAATGGCTCGATCAAGGAATCTCAAGTAAGGAGCTCGTGGAAACCTCATTCCTTACTTCGGACTAGTTTGCCAGTTGAGTCGTTGCGTGGAAGACTTCGCAACCGGCGGACAAGAACTAGTGGTGTGGAATTGAAAGCAATCCCAGACACTCCATGTAAACCATATTCATATTATGCCTACATTGACCCCCCAAACTACCCCACCTGATCGGCATATATGGCAGTCCCATGGGGTGTCATTGAAGGGCAATGGGTTCCCTCTCAAATCATTGAAAGGCAAACGGTTCCGGGGGTGACGAGGCGCTTCATTTGTGAGGTCCAAACCTGAGGCGCTTCATTCTGGCGAGCTGTGGCCACATTCCCATTCACGACCTGGTCCGTCCCCGAAATCCAAAGCCGTGGACTCCTGGAAGTGAATCCCAAAAACACGTGAAAGCACGAGAAGTGAGGAGTCTTGCAACAGGGCAAACTCTGCACCTCCCATGTTGAAGTCCGACAGAGTCAACGCCTTGGACCAAAACGCCCCTCCCCTCCGAGGTTTGCCTTACATCAGAAGGCCATTCTGCCGGAGCCCCTGAGAACCTGAGAAGCCCCTGACCAGCACCGACCTCCTCGCAGCGGTCATCCGAAGAACCGGTCGTGTGATCTCTCCATGGGAAGCTCCACCCACCGGAGTGAGGATGAAAGATATACACTCCGACGAACACATCACATGGAAGTGGCGAGTTCCCCCTGTTCGTAAAGGAAAGTAGTCTTCCAAGGGACCATGCCATCCACTTCCATGTTAGTGAGTCAGAGTGTACCCTGTGTAGTTTGAGACCGATGCTGGTCGTGTTGCGCCTGCTTCCAGGGGTCTCTTGATGAGAGTAAGTGTTGCATCAGGACGAGGGCAGAGTGATTTTGGAGGATGAGTGATTTTGGAGGTAGCAGCATGAGGGCACAGGTTGTTCCAAGACATTTTTGCAAGTGAAAGCTGGACATAGCTCGACATGCTACGAGATTTGGCTTCATGCCTGCAATAACAAAGCTCATGTTGAACAGATGTGACAGCAGCCTCAACATCCCTCACGCAATTGGTATACCAACCCCGAACACAACATGGGGCAACTGCAGCAAGTTCGACAGATTCGCGTCTTGGAGATGCCTAGTGATTTAATGCACAGCTCCAAACCAGATACGTAGATGCAAGTAGCATCTCCTCATGTCTCAACCTGTCTCAAGCATCTCCTCAACCCGAGAGATCGGCTGCCGGTTGAGATCGCCAGTGAAATATCTGAGGCAAGTGAAGTCCCAAGACGATTTGATCCACATGATGCAGGTGACTGTTCTCGGTCCGTGTCATTGGTCCGGTGATTTTGATCCGATTTCGGGTGGGAGAGGTACATGTGTTTACTTGGAAGAATCTAGAAGGGGGAGACTCCCCAATCCACTAGTCGTTTCTAGTCATGCTGGTTCTATGTTGTTCTCTTCCCAAGGGTCCTTGAGAATCTTGAGATATCTCCCAGCCATTTCCCAGACTTATGCCAGCACAATCCCCAATCCCAGACACTCCATGGGACTGCCATATATGCCGATCAGCTGGGGTGGTGCCAGGGGGAACACTTGATCGGCATATATGGCAGTCCCATGTGTCGTGTCTGCAAAATGTAGATTCTCATGTGTGTCATGTAGTAGAACATGTTCTTCGGCGTTGTCGTGTTCACGCAGAGCTGTGGCAAACACCGCGAATCGAAACATCCATCCGGAGACGTTGTGCGGACCCCAAAACTGCAGATGTTTACACAATGTATACCTGAGCGCAACCACAGTGGTTTCCGAGTAGGCGCAAACACAAAGATGTCTTAGACTGATAGATCAGATAGGGATCCATATACTGTATCCATATAAAGCACCTTTCGGCATGTTGCCATCTATTCTGAAACCACTATACATAATCTGCTCATTTGCGAAGACAGCAGCCGTTGCACCTTTCTTTGGCCGTCCATCCTTTGGACTTTCCAGAACTTGGTTTGCACATGAGCAGCAAGAATTGGACTGAATCACAAGAAGTGCTTGAAGATTGGACATAGAATGAAAGGATATGACGTGTTCATGTGGATTTTATCTCTAAGTTATAGTTGAACCTGACTTTGCCAACCGATGGCTGCACGAGAAAGTGTGAAAGACATTGAAAGACCATGAACAACCAAGATACAAGACGGACAGCTAGTTTGTGAACAGCTATGGGTACATGATGGTACATGACTTCGAGTGTTCCCACGATCTGAGCTGTTTTCATGTCGTCCTTACGTGCACCGATTGGTTTGGTCGTGCCTGCGTTTCGATCGTGGGCCTCTCCAAGGGGCAACTGGTGAACTCGGTAGGGGTTCAATATTAAAACAGAACACGTTACCACCAGCGAATGATACATATTTTTGCGGTATTGAATATAAATGAATTTTATTTAAAAAAAAAAGCATGCTCACAGTGACGAGCTCTCTATTTAAAAGGGTCAGCCAACCTTCGCTGGCCTGATACACCTCCGCTCGCTCACATGGACGTGCCTTCCTGGTTGGTCTTCCGAAGGGGCCGGTCTTCATATGTCCACTTTTTGAGTGTCAGAAACATTCGTCCACCCCTGGCTGAACTATGGTGTTCATGTCACCCGGGGTGGGGTCGGAGGAGTCGAGATCTCAGGAGTGGCAGCCCAACTGCTCTCCGGAGGCCGGGTGGAGTATCCACCCGATACGGTGACTGGAACACTTGGGGCGAGGAGAAGCGGTGGTTTCGAGGCTTTTGAGATGTGAGGTGATTTTTGAAAGATGTTCATTGAAGTGTCAGAAGTTCTTTTTTCTGGTGAGTGTGGACGTCCAGGTGGTTGTTTCAATACATGCTTACAAGTACTCAACAACAACAAATACTGCATGGTCAGACAAATATGAAAAGGCTAATCTCCAGAGGGCGATGGGGAGAGCCGGGGAGAGAGAGAGAGAGAGAGAAAAATATTACAAACATATGAGATTCAATAGCTCAGATATGCTCCCTCTTTTGGGGGGCCATGAAAAATTTGAACCTCCCAAGCCGGTCTTTCAGGTTCGGCCCGCACGACGCTGAATCCGATGCAGATAACGGTCCGCGCACGACGCACGGGTGACCCGATAGGTTTTTGGTTACGGCTACGATTAAGGTGAATCAGGATAAATTCCCTTCTCCCGGTTCTTCTGTCAGTTCATGACGTTTGAGGCCTTACTGTTTGTGAATTGAGGGGATCAAGTTCGGTCAAAACCAGGCTGAGAAAGATGTGATTTTGTTTGGACCCACAAATCCAAGCCATTTGAGGGGTCTGAGGGCGGGAGGATGAGATTCTTCGCGCGAGTTGGAAAAAACACGATGCTTCTGCAAGGTGATGCGAATGACACCAACCACGCCTTTGTAAGATAGACCAACAACAACAACAAAGACATGGGTTTCCTTCTATGTTTGCTTCACAACGTTTCTCCTCCAAATGATATATATAGAGAGAGAGAGAGGGAGAGATAAGATAGATATAGTACGTAGGTTCACTTCCAGAAAGCACGTCAAGTGCATCACAAGGCAGCAAGCTCATGGGCAAGACTATGACTACATAAGTTTCTTGGCAAGCTAGGCCATGTATGGCACATGGTCATCATACAAGGCTTCATCGTTCGTGATCTTCCTGTGTGTTGGGATTTGCTTGGATTTGTCAATTTTACATAGGTATACAATGTTCGAATGTTATACATATGTTACATATCATCACGTGTCACTTGCCACTGGGCTGGTAACCAGTGACTAGTGAGTTCGCTTTGCACAACCCCCCGAAGTAAACCTCACTCCCTGCACCTCAACTCCATTCGGCGCTTGGCTGCTTCTGGGAGTGAAAGCTCCAGTTTCCTGTCAGGTACTGATTCAGAAGGCCTATTGCCCGACTTTCGTGGGGTCCGGACGCCCGTTTCCTTCCGACCTCGCGCCGGGGTGGGCGCGGCTCGGTCAGGTCGGCAGAGGAAGGGAGAAGTTGGTAAAACAGGAGAAGTGGGCGCGAAGAACGCAACAACCACGGGCACGCCCATTTGGCATGAGTGTAGCTGGCCTGAATAGGCTGCCAACCTATTGTGTTGCACAGCAACTGCACTGTGATCTTGCAGTTTTGCTGCCTTGAAGCCAACTGGTGGCGGATTTGGGTTCAATGCGAGGCTTACTCCAAGTCAAGGAGGCTGGTTTGAAAACGAAAAATGTGTTTTGCTCACGTTGGGCCTTGGCATGATTATGGATGCAGAGGTGCAGAGATATGTAGACTGGAGGGTTTGGTGAGCAGGAGGCCTTGGTGAAGAAGGCCTTGGTGAGAATGCTTGAGCTGACCCTCAAAGCGAGCTCAGGAGGGACCGATCTGGAGCCGGGGGCATCCTTCCTACATGGCACAGTCACAAGCAATTAGTCCCAGCCACGCCACCACTTGAAGCAATCACCACTGCCCATCCAATCGCCAAGAGTTGAAGAACTGCTAAACTTACTTGCCATCCGCGTTTGGTGCTCGATCCTATCTGCGCGGATCCTATCTTCGCCGATTGTAGCGGATGGCGGTCATCGTCATCGCCGCGTAACCCGAGGCCCATCGGCCGACTGGACTTGGATCAGCGACGCAGGCGCTCTGCAGATGCGACGCTTGGACGAAGCGGCCACTCCGCACGGGTGAATTAGGGTTTAGGGTTAAGACGCTCCAAGAACCTCCTGAGAAGCTCTGGGCTCAGAACATCTAAGAACCTATTTGGAGCCAATTTTGGAGGTATCTTTGGGTCAAAATGGGCAAGGCTCCTTTGAGCTTTGGGAATCTTTGGGAATGAGGAGGGCTGTTTTTCAAGATTGCTGTCAACACCAGCCTGGTGCACAGATTAGTCATCCCGGGGCACATTTAATTTGAGGGGTACGCGCAAAGGCTGGAGCGTGCTCATAAGTTTGCGAATGATGGTGCAGGTGTCGGTACATAAGTTTGTTGTTTTTTTCCGCCATTGAGCATGGCAATTGTGTAAAACGGGAGGCTGCACGGCATGGACTTCATCAGCATATTTCAGGTAGTGCGCGCGTTCTTGCAGCATGATGTATGATGCGTTTCACAACTAGTCCCGATTGCTCCGAGAAAACATTGAAGATATAGAGATTTTGCCCAGGTTCTGATTTATTCCCTTTTAAATATGTTATTGTGAAGTATGGTCCAAGTCATGTGCCAGACTTTAGTCTCATTCATGGTTCCCAACTCGTTTAGGCATTTGAAGAGTTTCAGCTGCAACCTTCTCAGAAGTCGCCTCCAGAGTTCTGTTGAAAGGAGATGATATGAGCGCGGTGAGGCCAGGTTTTTGAGGTGTATGGAATTGTCATTCAGCGAACGGTTGTAAGCATAGGTTTCATAGAATGCTAACTGGTTTGCCTGCGCCTGCGGCTGTTTTTGGAGGGTGCAATTCACGCAAACCGTTGTAAGCGCCAAAACCGAGGATTTCGTCCGTGCCTTCCTCAGAGTTGGTTTTCGGGAGGGGCGGTGGGCTGAGAGAGGGATGACTCGTTGGTGCAAAGCGGAGGGGCCAACCATCTTGTGACACCAAGTGGAGGGTACCAATTACACTCCAATCGTTGTCGCAAAACTTGCACTTGGGGTCTCGTCATTGGCTGGAGACGTCGTCTCTTGGTGCTCATGTTCAAAAGATGGGAAAACTTCGCGTGTGAAAGCCATTTCCCCTACTAACATGGGGTTTCCACTTCCATTTGTTTTGAATAGAGTCAGGTATGTCAGGGTAAGTATATGGCTCTCATGTTGATCATGTTGGGTGTTTCATGGTGTTTCTACAAGCATGAGACGTTCATAGATGTTCCACAACCACTTCCATGTCTTATCTTGTTCGGTGTGTGCGTCTTTTCTTTTTGTGTGTCGTCCGACATGCATTGATTTCTTATTCCAACAAGGGTGTTCAGCTTGAAGATATTTGCACCCGTCGCACCATCCGCAGGCAGATGCCCGAGCGGAGATGAGGGCCACGCAGCTCCGGCGCGGAGGATCTTCGGGCTCGGGCGTTTCGGGCCGACTCGATGGGATGGGGGGGAGAAGCAGCTTGACCTCACTGGCAGGATTTTTGTGGGGAGAACTGGATTTCCCTGGATGTCCTAGCTTGGGGGAAGTTGTGGATGCGAGTCGACTCCATGTTTGTGGCATTCCCAAATTCACATTGCATCCACTTTTTGCAATGTAGTGACGCAAATTCATGCATAGAACATCAGCTTTCTGTCAGAGAAGGGCATGGTTGCTTCAAGCTGTTTCAGACAAGTTTGGGGCATACCCTGGCCAATCTTGAAGGGCTGCATTGCGCAGTTTCTATCACCATAGATGGCTCCACATGATCAGACTGTGGTGCTTAGCACTGCTTATTAGTAGAGAACCAGGGAATGACCCTCACCATAGACTAAGACTAGGTAGATACCTTAGCATCCATATATGCATCCATTCATATCCATTCCCTGATTCCTAAGCACCACTTAGTCTTCACTGTTGCTTACTGTTTTCCCAATGTCCCCGCTCCAAAAACATCGTTTTCCACCCCTTTCTTTTTCTAGGAGTCCGGCCCGCCTCCGTTCTCTCACGCGCCTGAGCGGGCGGACGCATGCGGACGTCGAGCTGTGGGGAAGAGCTGTGTGATCGAAGCAGATCGAAGCAGGCAACAAGGGGAGAAGACACCATGATCAGGATGCAAATGGTATGAGAATGGAGCTCGGAAGATGGAGCGAGACATGGGCAGAGACATGGGCAGAAAGCTTGATGAAGCTTGCAGCTCAGGTTTCTTTTTTCCTGAGAGCGGGGGGAATGCCCATGGATGCCCATGGTGGGTGATAGACTTTTGGGTGATAGACTTCTGGTGTCAAGGTTGGACTTAGGGGCCCTTGAATGCCCTTGAGCTCGTCCTGCAAGATCTTGCAAGTGATCCTTGGAGAAGTGCTTCGCCAAGGAATGGACCGAGAGTGTCCGGAAATTGATGCATGTGCTGCGAAGAATGCTTGCAGCTGCAAACACTGAGCCCAAATGTGCAGTCGCTATATGGACGAGAGGACAGGGTAGCTACCTTGCACATCAAAGCACTAAAGACTTCAATATTTTTTTCACAACATCAAGCTGCATGCATGGCGCCATGAGATAAACATTGCGTTTCACACTGCCAACCTGCAGTGCTCGTCGCGGAAAATGGTCTCCAAATGTCGGAGTGTTTGAATGTGACTGGCACTGGGCGCCCCCAGCACTTGGCGCCCCAGGTGACTGATCCCTTTGTCAGGACTGAGGAAAAACATACCAAACCCAGTGTGGAGAGGACATCCCCAAACTCACACAGCAGCCACTTGGTCCAAGCTAATCCGCCATGGGACATCAAAGGGGGATCACAAACAGATGCTGGGCTTCAGCGAAATTTAGCTTTCAGCTGGGCCACTGCGAAACGGTCTCTTTGGATCTTTCATGTCTTGAAGTATAGACAGCCAAACTCCTACACCAGTCCCACACCCTTCACCGTGCTTCACCGTGCTTACAGACGTGTGAACCAACAAGCCCACTTCTTCACAGACGTCCCACCTCTTTCCACCTCTTTCTGTGCCGTGCCTTGACCCGCGTGTCTGGCCCCCCATGGCTCTCGCTGCTGCTCGTTTGCTCGACACCTGCTCGCCTCGCCGGCCTCGCCTGGTGGCCCACCGCTGTGGCGCGGGAGAGGCGCCGGAGAACACAATCGAAAGCCTCTCGGCGCAGCCCACGCGGCCTCGGGCGATTGGCGCAGCGCGAAGACTGATCCGAAGCTGATCCGATTCGTCTCGAGCCAAACTTAAATGATGCAGCCGAATATATTCATTCATTCATTCCAGGTAGGCAGGGTCGGTGATGAGGAATTATTTGATGTCATGCATTTTAAGTTCACTCCTGTGTCTTGAGGCTTAAGCCAAAAGCACAAAGGAGTGACGCTCCTGAAGAACCCCGTGTCGCTGGTTCTTCAAATTTCTTTGCGGCTGTCGCCATGGCTGATGAGCGCACTCGACGTGCTGTCGAACAGGAGCGCTTCAATGTGTGGTGCGCCGCGGCTGGGATTGAAACCCCCAGCGATCTGGCGTGCCGTGGCTGACGGCTGGGAGTTGGCTCGACGCGAGAGTGAGCCTGGCATGGCCGCGTTGTTGCGTGGGCTTTTTCAGAGCCAATCCCGGCCGCCGCAGCCATCTCAAGCCCTACTCCCACTTCGTTTTCCGGGCCGGTCAAACCCAAGCGTGCCCCGCAGCGCCCGTCTGGCGCAACAGGAAGGGGTCGCCTCCTTGTTCATCAGGGACCTGCTTGGCATGATGGTGACGCTGATGCCTCCTCTCCGGCTCGTCACCAAGAATATTTGACCAATTGGGGTACCCGGCTGGAAAGGCTCTGCGCCAAGACGGAGGCCGCTACTGTCAAGCGGGTGGTGCACACCTGGAAGGATCTGGTCAGGTACGTGGACCACCTGGGCATCAAATTCCCTGACCCTCATGCTCTGGCTACTTTCGTTCGAGAGCACCATGGCCCCACACGGGATTTTTGTCCTCCTTGGGCTGGGAGATCCGGAATGTGCGGGTCCCATTGGATTTGGGCGAGACATCCCGACCAGCACCGGTCCGCAGCACTCGCCTGGGGCAACGCCAAGCGCAGGCGGCCGCCCTTGAACCAGGGATGGTCACGCATTTACTGGGAGTGCTGGAATATTATATAGCTACCCCTTTGGCCCTGAAATTTAGGGAGGGTACGTGAAAGAATTTCTGAAATATATTTCACTTGCACGTTTGGAGCAGTCTGGCCATTTGCCAGCCCCATTGCCGCACCCCGTTGCCTTTTTGGCCACCAGCCCTGGTTTCAACGTAGTGTGCTGTCCCAGGGGGCAGCCGAGCTTGGCTTCGGCCATGGCTTGATCCATTTTGACAGCGTTTGTTTTTGGCTCAGAATGGCTCAGATTTGTTCAGTGCTGGGAAAAATTTTTGTATAAGATATTGGAAGGATTTTTGTCCTTCTATATAAGCATACAAAGAAAACAAAGACAGTCATGTGCCATGATACGAAGTCCTAAGGTCTGAAAAGGATACAAAGCTTCTAAGACAGTCTAGGAAGCTTCTAGTTACTACAGGTGAAACGATTCCCAGTGAAACGATTCCCAAGGACGCTTCTAGTTACTAGTAAGCTTCAAGACATATTTACACCTGCGGATTGTTCCGCCCGCCCTTTTGGCCGCAGCGAGAAAGCCAACTTAGTGGGTGTGAGTGCGGTGCAGCGGTGGGACGTTGGCCAAGAAGGGGTGACTGCAAGAGTAGAAGTCAAACTGGATGTGGTCACATGCAGCCAATCCGGAGAAGCAGTGACATTTATGCAGATAAGGGTGCAAGGCTGACACAGCAGTAGGTAAAAGGTCTGCTCTGTGCTGTACACATGGCATGCTACCTACTACTCACTACTCCCTGCTCCCTACTTTCTACTTACTACTTATTTACACTGCACGGCAAAGCTAGGGGGCTTCTTTCAATCTTCGAGAGCTCTCAGAAAGGCATGTCCTCACAAAAGAAAGACAAAGCAACATATGACATGGAAACCAAAAAGTACAAAAAAGAGACAGCGCAAACACCAATACTTACACGGGGGGAGGGAGGGGTGGGGGGGAGGGGGGGAGGGGGGGGGCACTAAAACAGACAAGACATAGCTTAACAAAGAACTAACAAAAAAACAACTACCCAAAACACGCCGTGCCCCAGGGCCGGCGGATTTTTTTGAGCTTTTTAGTATATCCTTGCTCCTACTAGTGATGCCAGGAGCCCCTAGTAGCGTCCTTGTTCCTAGTGGCGATGCCAGAGCACCAAAGCCGATACAGGAATTTGAATGGCGAACGAGATCACACCACACCCCAAAAATCATGGTAGATTGAAGTTTTGGACTGACTCAGGTTGTCGTGGCAGTACTACAAGAGCTTGGATTGCATGTCCCAGCACCTTTTTGCCACAGACACCTCAGAGATGGTGAAGGCTTCCCAGCTGCTGAAGCAGATGGACCAGAGAAGTTGGAGATCATGGTGACAGTCAAATGACTGTGATTTTGAACAGCGTGCATCACATATGCATGCCGGGCTCGGCTGGGACGCATCAACTGCCACATCCATAATCCATAGTTGTTTTTCAACAGCGCAATGCCTTGGGCGTTTGATGTGCGTCGGATCGTGACTGTTGCGATGATTGTGGCCGCAAACGCTGCAAAGTGCCAACGTTGGAGCTGGGTGGGGCCAGGGCACCAAAATATCTACGTGACATTGTCATGACATGTCACGCCATGACCGTTTTTGGTGGAAAATGAACATACTGTAGGAAGGTGCGGGGGGACACCTCACATTTTGTGTGAACGGACGGAGGGCAAACTCATCACTCATCACTGTGCAAGAAGCATGCGTGTTGTGCCTGCATGTCCAAGGCAAGCCAACTCCAACAAGCACTCACTGAGGAGATTTTTGGCTGGTGGAACTGAAATGGTGGAATCTAGTCTGATGATCCGCTTGTGATACACACACACAGTATCACACGCATGTCACATGGATCCAAACCACCCTGAGGCCCTGCTCCAAATACTGAGACGGTAGGAACCTAGCGCCCACTCCCAACTCCCAACCACCGAAACCTTATTAGTTGTGTTGGGGGGGGTCCTTAGTCGTAGTGCCGTATGACCTCCTTGGTCCCAGTGTCCCCAAACATGCCACTATATTTTGCTTAAGGGACGTGAGTGACGTCCCATTCCAATCGCATGCAATCGCACATCTTGTAGGGTTGCGGGAACTGGCGCTTTCATTTCCTGCAATGTGATATTGGTTCGAAGCTGGGCAGCTAGGCATCTTCATGAAAGTTTGCCATCAACATTTTTCGCATTTGACTTATAACAATGTGTGAAACTGTTTCTCATTCTCTCGGCGCAGATGTCACACCCAACCTTTGAGAGTAACTGGAGTTGAGATTCTTGAACATAATAAGCAGTAGTAGAACATCACTTGAATCAATACATTTTGAGACCAAAGCGTGAACGTACAATCTAGGACCTTGCAACAACACCCGGGCATTTACTCATACTTGCCCACGTCCAATTGGCCCGAAGAATTGGAAACGCGGGCAGTCTTCACAGTCTTTACGCACTGGCGTTCTGAGAGGAGACGCACATGTTTTCCTGCAGTTGTGTGTTTGAAGGGCGATTGATTGGATATATTAATGCAGCTTCCGAAGTGTCAGTTGAAAAGTTTATCATGAAGGAGACATGCTACATGATGTGATTGCAGTTGTATATCAGTGTTCTACTTTCTATCCGAAGTATGGTGCCTGTCAGTTTTTTAAAATGTGTTTTTGAGAAGACCACCTTCTTCAAACTCTTGTAGCATCTTGTAGTAAAGCAAGCGCAAACAGCATTTGCAAGAACCAAAAAAGAGTATTAAAAAGTGACAAATGCTTTTCAATCTGAATGGGTTCTGTTTTGATGTTCCGCGCGTCGGGTTCCGCGCGTCAGGTTTCGCGCGGGCTCCGCGCGACGCAAGTGATGGCGTGTGAAAAGAGTAGAAGGAAAATGAGTAAATGGAACCCCCAAGTAAAAGCTCCCAAGCCAAGGTTCCCAAGTACAGGTTCCCAAGTAAAGGTTCCCAAGCAAAGGTTCCCAAGTAAAGGTTCCCAAGTAGGGGTTCCCAAGTACAGACAGGCTCCCAAGTAAAGGTTCTGTTTTGCCATCTGTTTTGATGTTCCGCGCGGGTTCCGCGCGTCAGGTTCCGCGCGTCCGCGCGACGCAAGTGCTGGCATGTTCGGAATGACGTATCGAAATGCAAACCTTGGGTCATGACACTTCGGATTGAAATCAATGGCCTTGAGCCCAAAGTGGCCCTCCGGTCGATCAACAGTGGTGACTTTCGCCGTGTCAGATGCTTTCATTTGCCTACGGGTGTGGAACACAACAAAACCACCGTGCTGGCAGGGTATCAAGATCTTTTGGCTGAAGCTGGTCGCCATGATGTGGATGAGGAGCGCAGTGAGATACACTTTCAGAGTGTCATGTCAAGTACAGTTATTCTTTCACTGTGAGTTTCGGGGGTGAAAAGAACACTTGGTTGAGAAAATGACAGAAAACCATTGATTGCTATGATGCTGGTAATGCGCATGATGATGGTAATGCACGTGATGCGCATGATGTTGGTAATGCGCACGGTGCTATGTTCAAAACTCGGTCTTTGTCTTAAGCGCAATTGAACCTCCATAGTTCCACCCGATTTCATGTTGTTCTTGAAAGTTTGGACGATTTGCCGTGGTTCGTTTCCTCGTTTCACCGGTGATTCAGACCAGGTAATCAACGGCCAAGCGTCCAAACTTTTGGCTCTTTGGGGTTCGAGGACAGATTCGGACAGTTGGGCACCATCAATCCGAATTCCACACGATGGTTCCAAATTCCGCAAAGTCAGCGGGCAATTTGCCATGCATTGCTGTCGCACATCCTGACAAGGATGCATGAAGAGGGGAGAGGATTGAGGAGAGGAGAGGAGAGGAGAGGAAAGGACAGGACAGGACAGGACCGAGCTGAAGCGAAATTGGAGCTGAAGCGTTGGAGCTTGGAGGTGGAGACTGCGGGTGCGGAGGTGGAGGATTAGGAGCTTGGAGCTAGCGTCGGTGCGCTTGCCACTGAGGCCTTGCCAAGCCACACGACATGGCCCAATGACATCACCTCTCAAATCTTTAGTTGTTAGTTAGTCAGACGTCAAAGAACCGCTCTAATGACGTTTTTTTAAGGGTAAGGGAGACCCTTTGATCTGGCAGAGCACACTGCAACCCCATAACTACATACAAATTGACACATAAATGTCCTACACCCGGGAAGATTAATAAGATGGAACCTGAAAACGACAGGGTACAGGTTCCCAAGTAAAGGTTCCCAAGTAAGGGTTCCCAAGTAAAAGTTCTGTTTTGATGTTCTGCGCGGGTTCCGCGCGTCGGGTTCCGCGTCTCAGGGTCAATGCTTTTTAAGATTTGGTTCAAGAACTGAACTCAACCCATAGTGTACTACTCACTGGTCCATCCTGCTGGCCGTGGCGGCGATGGTTTTCGTAGTCATCAGGTTTTCTCATTTGCAAAAAAGAGCTTTCTCATCGGAGCGAATTCCGCAATGTTGCTTTTCTTGTGTTACAAAGGGAAAACCGGAACCCGTAATGGTCCTGGTCTTTGCCGCGCACCTTGGGGAGTTTGGATATCTATGCCATTCAAGCGGCGCCTGGATCGTGTGCGACCGAGACACGGCGAAGCTTTCCGACGATGGCACTATGTTGCATTTGATGCCAACACCGCTGTGCAAGTTTCCATCTGGGCAGTTTCTCCGGGTCGTGAGACCGTACTTTGGATGCCAGTCAACTCACTTCACACAGCTTCAGGCGGGTCGGGCGTACAGCAGGTATCGTGCGCCTCACGGATACCGAACGATTGGCCATTGGTCAATGGACCGACATGTCAACTCGCCGGCAGACTGCCCAGACGCCACTGCGCTACGACTTGCAAAAGCAGAAGCAGGGGCACCAATTAAGAGGCTTGCAGCAGCTCTCATGGCTACCCCCCTGGAGGTGATGTGGGAAGAGATATACGCAGCTCTGATGCCATGGATCGTTGGGCTGAGGCTGCGGCTATGGTTGCTCCTGACGGAGAACCCGCGTGTCGAGCGGCTGTCCTCCGATGACATCCCAGGCATGCCCACGGCCAAGTCACTGCTGCCGGCTTCTTTGCCGGCTATCCGTACTGCAGGGCAGAAGATCATCCGAGCATTGCGCAAGCGGGCCTTTGCACAACCATCTTCTTCAACTCCGGCACCACCACCTGTGGTTAAGCCTAATGTATCGCCTCGCTTGGCACCATCGGCCGCCGAACCTCCCTTGAAGAGGCGTCGCCTCCCCCACAAAACGGCGGCGCCGTCTGCGCCAGAGCAGGTGGCTCCTGCTCCATCGGCACTGCCTGTGCCTGCCAGTCCGGCTATAGGGAGTCCCCGGTCAAGGGCCCGGAGTCTCCGGCAGTTGCCGTCAAGAAGAAACCGCAGCCGCCAGCTGCGAAGGCCCGTCCTCTGCTGCCTGCGGGGCACTGGGTCATCGATGATGCGGCTGATGGCGGCCAGAGTGAGCTGAGCCACGACTCCAACAAGTTGGACCTGTGTACTAAGCCAGGACTACACGTTCAGTTGCTATGGCGGGCTGTCAGCTCCTTGCATGATTCGGAGTCCCTGTTAGATGGCGTCTGCTCAGGGGGGGAAGACCGACCTTCCCAATGCCTACCGCCACGTGCCAATGCTTCCCACTCAGGCGGACCTTGCAGTGGTTATACATACTATGACCATCATGTTCAGGAGCCACGTTTCCGCCGATACTATGGTTCACTGTTTGGCTTGCCCAACGCTGTGTGTTCGTTCAACCGTTTCCTTCGTTTCTTTCAGGCAGTGTGCCGACGTATGGGCTTTTGTTTTGCCAGTATGTACTTTGACGACTTGACGGTGCAAGATCTGGGCAGCATGAAATTAAGGGTCCGTACAGCATTTCATCACTAGTTTTGCCACACAGATGGGCTCCCCCGTTTCAACCAGAGAAGCATCAGGCAATGCAAAGTCAGTCGGACTTTTTGGGCCTCATTCATGATGTCAGCCAATGTCATCTTGGTCAACCTGTACGGTTTTGGGCACGTGACCAGCTTCTGACTAAGGTCAATGATCTGATGGATGAGGCTACCCAGACTGGTCGACTACCACCACAACTTGCTGCAAAGCTCTTCGGGTGCCTGGGTTTCCTCGACACTGGTCCAGGTTGCTTTGGCAAGTTAGGACGAGCAGGCCTTAACACGCTGAAGGAGCGCCAGTGTTCGCAAGCTACGACCTTGACAGATGAGTTGTTACGATCTTTTGAGATGATTCGCTCTCTACTTGCCCACAAGCCTGAAAGAGAGTTACCACTCCAACCAATTCATCAACAGAGGTATTTGGCAGCTTCCGACGCAGTCCAAGATGAGCCCCGTCAGGGCTCCGCAGGACTCCTCTTCGTGGGCCCTCAGGGTGAACGGGACGCCTACGTGATTGACGTTTCACCGCACCTCTTCGATCTATGGTCGGAGCGCCCCACAAAGATTGGCCAGTTGGAGCTACTCACCGTCTACGTGGTGTTTATCTTTGTGGCCAGTCAGGCTCGCTCAGGGGCTCTGGTTCGTGGACAACATCGCCGCCTTGATGGCCCTCGTCAGGGGTCGCAGCGACAACCCAGAGTGCTCTTCTCTACTCTCTTCGCAGCGGCTGCTATTTTGAATGGGTTCAGTCTGCTGACAGTTGGTTTGATGGTATAAGTAGAAAGGGTGTCCATGACGAGTGGTCTCAGGCGCATTCTTTTCGAGTTCACCAAGTACCAGTTCCCCTGATCCTACTCCACCTACCTTACACGATTAAAAGCCATGTCTTCAAGTTATTCTGAGTGCTTTGGATATCTCTTTTGAGTGCATTGGAAACGTATACCTGGCAGAGGTATGCACCAGGGGTGCATGCGGCATGGGCCGCTGTGACGGAGTCACACAAACCAAAGCACTATTCAACTCAGACCTCTCAAGCTTGAGCGAAAAGGAATTTCGTCCGAAGCTGATCCGATTCGTTTCGAGTCAAACTTAAATGGTGCAGCCGAATATATTCATTCATTCAAGGTAGGCAGGGTCGGTGATGAGGAATTTTTGCGGTGCGTCTGAGTGGTTTTCGTGATCGCCTGCTTGGTGTCTACCTAACGGAGGCTCTCTTTATGTGGTAGCTGTCCGCCGTGTGCCACTAGTTGCTCAAATTTTTCAGTCGATTCATGTCCCTATCCTCACAGCTAGCTGCCTGCGGAGTGCCAGATCGTTTTTGCAGCAGTCAGCTTGGCCAAATGCCCAGATGTTTGAGCGCTGATACCCTCTGGCAGTGGCATTGCGGTGCAATTGCGGGTCACTGCCCTTCTCATTGTTTTATTTGCAGTGGCAATATGGAGATAATTGCCGGTCACTGCATGTTTCTATTGTATTTTCCACTCCAACATAGTCATAGGACTGACTTTCAGTATGCTCTTGACTATCTTTAATGGAGTCTCTACTTGGTATGGGTAGGAAACGTATACCTGGCAGAGGTATGCACCAGGGGTGCATGCGGCATGGGCCGATCCGATTTGTCTCGAGTCAAACTTACATGATGCAGCCGAATATATATATATATATATGTACATAAACACACGTGCGCCGCAAGCAGGTTGATGGCATGTGGGTTTGATGGTGTTGCCAGAATCACCGGTTTTGATCATGGTATGCCATCAAAGTGTGGGTCCCTATACTGTACGGCACACATGATTTTGTTAATTTGTACTCATTTGGGTGGATGGATGTGCTGAGGCTGAGTGATTCTGAGTGGCTCAGTAACGACTCCCGGGTGAACTGACAGCACTGCACTCGCAGTTTGCTGACTCCGCAAGTGTATATTCACTTTCTTTGTCATTGTCATTCCCGGATCTGGACATCCCGTATCAGATCTTTTCCACATGACCGGCAGACCCAGGTGTCAGATACTGTCTTGAACTGAAAGTTCCGCTCCTCCAGCTGGACGTGATGCACACGAAGGACCACAAGGAGAGTTTGGGCAGACCGATGAACAGTGTTTTGATATGTTTTGATGAACAATGCTTGGTTTTGTTATGTGTGTTTCTTGTACCCTGGTTTGGCGCCTGTTTGGCAATAGGAAGGTCAGCACATCGAAAAGGACTTCTGTAAGATGCGTCATTGAAAATGCCCAGATTCTGTCGCTTCCAACAAGGGCAAAGGCAAGACCATGCAAGACGTAAGAACAGGAAGAAAAACAGGCACGATCCACCCGCAGGGATTGCCAGCAGTTTCTCCGGAACTCTCGATTTGCATCGCGACTAGCATTGAAACCCTTGTCTAGCTGTGGGTCAAACCTTGTAGCCCTTGTGCCCCTGGTAAGTAGGTTGACCTCAGTTGACCTCTCTAGGAGTCATGTTCACTTCATGTCACGATGGTTCACGGTCCCGGTTTTTCCTTTTGGACCGCCATGTCGCCTATACTGTAAGCCTAACCAGAAGCCTTCTTTTTCGCCGGAGGTGATCCTCTTTCACGATGTGCCTTTGGAGCGGAACATGGAGAAGCTCATGGGGGTCACAGGGCAGATCCACGACTTCAACTACGACGAGTGAACCGGCAAGAACCAGGAACCAGCTGTACTCCTGGTTTGAGGATAGCTGGATGCTCCAGAATTGAACATGTTGAACAATTCCCCCCTTCAAAAGAAGAACTCCACTAATCCTACAGGGCGCGGGACCACTGAAGTTGATGAACATCCATCTGGTAAGCGCCTCAAGCATGGCGTTCATCGGCAAAGTCAACCAGTGGATGTTTCACGGTGCTTCCCTGAGGCTCCCACCCTTTAAGCAGCTCTTGCAGCCCAATGCCTTTTGTCCTGAAGATGCTTTTCCAGTGGCAGTGAAGGAGCTCAAGGTGAGTCTTTTTGAGGATGCATGCCGACTACTCGCTGGCACGGGTGTCCTGGATTTCTTGGAGAGGCTCTTTTTGGTCAAGGGCTTGATCATGGTGATGCCATCATGCTTGATCATACTTGATCCAGATCAACCGACTGTCATCGGAATGTGTTGATCAACTCAAGGAAGGAGGCTCAATTCGGCAATTTCCAGTCAGGTCCGCATTTTTGGCAGGACATGTCCACATGAAGACCGGACCAGAAGCTGGGGGACTGCCAGAAAAGTCATTCCGTTCCTGAAAGAAAGATCATGAAAGATCTGGGAGTTGGGAAGGTCTACGACTGTTTATGAACTTTAAATCGGAAGTGTTGGTCTGCCAAGGTACCCAGATCATTTTGGAGTTTTGGCAAGAGTCTGCAGCTGGGCGTTGGTTTCCACAGTTATTTTTCGCTTGCTTTGCCGCTACACCGTTGGGTGGTGAACCTCAAGTCAATGTGCATTATATATATATATAGCATTAGCATGCATTAGCATGAAAAATATAATATACATTATAATATATATATATGATTATATATGTGTATTTCATTTGGTGTCATGTATACTATACCACCTTCAAACTCTCACATTTGCCTTTAGGGCATGTCAAAGTCACCACCTCACCTGCCCCAGTGATTGGTGAAGCCATTCGGGGAAGATCTGAGCCCAGAGTTTGGTGCGCGGGCTTTATCGGCCAATCGAACACACATGGAGATCGAGAGATGGCAACGTCAGCGTTACACAAAAATGACAGCAGGGGATCATTATAGTAGTATGGAATAATATGGATTATGGTCTAACTGATTTGAGCTATGAAGTTGGGCAGGTTTGACTATGTACCTTTCCCGAAGTCTTGGATAGTTTGGTTTGGCTCGATTCAAGCGTTTGATTGGAGTGCACTGGATGGCACCACGGTCGAGCCCATGCTGGAGGGCACGACATGCACCGACTGTGTGTTGAAATTGTTTCTTGGGGTCCCCACCGTCTCCCCTCAATCTTTTGGGTGGATTGAGCATGTATGAAAAGAAATGCTATTCCGTTCTTGTTCAGCATGGTGATCCCCCTTAATTTGTATTGGAGGGGACCCTTCAATTGGTGCATATACAACATAATGTTTTAATCACCACCTCGTCCAATTCGGCCGAACGGACTAGGAAGAATTGATCCTCAGTGTGCTCGAACTGTTGAAGCGTCATCAGCTGCTAAATCAGATTGCCGCTTGGGGGTCCCCTGAGAAGCTGGGACTCGCAGGGAGACTGTAGACGCGGGTGAACGACATGTTAGGTTCGTTGCCTCAAAGTGAGGAATTGACGTTAGTGATTATATAGTTGCGTTTGTTCGCTGTCTTTGGTGAAAAATTAATGTTCGATTCACTATGTTTCACCATGTTTCACTATGATGCATTTGTATGCGCATCATGTGTCTTCATTGATCATGGCTGTTTGGGGTGGCCTAGGTTTGGTTGACTCACCCAAAGGTTTTGCGGAACCCCTCTCCAATTTATAGTTCACTGAGTGTTGATACCCTATGGATGTATATAAATTATATAAACATATACAAGGATGTATCTTTCCAAATGCAAGTTTATATAAATCGCATAAAATTGAGTCGGCCGAAGGAAGGCTGCGACTCAGGAAGGCCTCCATCCAGGCTTGGTGCCGTCGAGCAGCGCCCCAGATACCCGACACTGGGCGGTGAACGATCAGCAGTCGATGTAACCTGTTAATGGATTCTCCAGGGGTTGGACCCAGTAGGGAAGTGGACCCAACCAGAAGTAGGGTGCAGGTGACCCAGTCAGGAGTAGCACATCGTACAATAGGAGAAAGAATTCAGGATCAATTGGAAGAATTCAGGCATGAATTTAGAAGCGCGTTTCTTGGGGCTTTGGAGGGGTAGATATTTCATAAGTTTCTTGGACTGGACAAGGCCACATGATCCTTGGTGAAATGAAGGGAGTGTCGTTGAAACTTGCGATCTGCGGCGAAGCCGCAGCTTCGACGTGATCGATTCGCTGGAATTTGGGAGTTTGGAGTCGATGCTAAGCGGCTTGATCTGGACTCTCTTGCACAGATCGCTTCTGTTTTCTGGACCTTTTGGGTTCCGATGCTTCTCCCGCTGCACCGAAAGCGGCGCGGATCCTTTGTGGGGGGAAGCGATCTGGTCGGTCTAAGGTCTTGATCACTTTTGCACAAGCATTTCGAGTGTCCTGGCATGATTCGCAGTGCTTTCAGTGATGCAACCTCTTCACTGTTTGTCACTGTGGTCACTCCTCAGTGCTTTCAGGATTGTTGATTATTGTTTCAGTAACTTCCGCCTTTGGGTTTCTTGGCCACGCAGATTCGAGGTTTGGACGTGCTGGAATCTGTGTTTTCCTCTTTGTGGCCTAAGCTTGGGACGACTTCTACCATTTCTGGTGGAAGGCCCCATAGTGTTCAACGTGCCGCACGTGACTGACTTGTGGCACAACGCGTTTTGCAAAGCCGCGAGACTTGGCGAGAATGATGGGCTGGTCAAGACGCTCCAGCCGGATTTGTGGTTCGGAGTCGTTGTATGGCTTGGCCACGATGATCAAATTAGAAAAAGATTGGAAACCCTATAGGTCGCAAAAATGGAAGGAGATCCACCTCTTCAGGTACAGTGGAGAAATACGTAGCAAATGACTAATTAAGAAATGTTGAGACTTTAAGCACCCCCCCTATGTTCAATTGGTACATGATTCTTTTCCCCCTTCATTTCACCCTCAAAGCCCAATCCCACGCAGGAAGGTCGATCCGCACACCCGATCGGTCAAGAGCGGGCTCATTTGGGCGCTGCTTTGCTTCCTGCGACGCTGGACGGATACTCCCAAGTTGTTTGAACATTTGTTCGGGCGCTACAAGGTGCCGACCATTTTGTTTATCGCCAACACCGAAGTTGCGATTGAGACCTGTCTCTCCTATAAGGGAGTGATTGCTATCCAAACAGATTTTCCCAAGAAATTCTATGACGTTTTCAATAGGGATTGACGGTTTGACATAATACAATAACAAATCAATTTATTTGTGCCCTGCAAAAAGAATTAAATATCTATTTTTATATAATTGATGTTCAATTAAAATAGATTGATATATAATTGATATTCAAATCAATTTTTAATTTAACAGAAAGGAGCGCTTTGAGCGGCGCGTTTTTGCATTGTTTTATTTTGTTTATGTTTTGTCTTTATATTTCTATTGGGTTTCTATTGATTTTTGTGCCACTGAAAGAATCCTATTTTGCCTTAACCCCCCCCGTCCCCCAAAGGCAATTTCCAAAATTCGAATTTTCTAAAAATCTAATTAAAAAAACAAAAAAACTAATTGTGTTAGGATTTTATTTTCTATTTTTTCTCTTTATGGTCTGTAGAATTGTTTGTTGTTTTTTGAATTTTTGATTTTTATGATGTCGTTTATTATAGTAGACGAATGCCACAAATGGCGGTTCTTGAATCTTTGATGGATAACATATTAAATATATTAATTATGTTTAAGAAATTATATTTAAAAAAATTGAAAAGAACATATTTATTTTAATCGAAAAACATGCCGCTTATAGCATTCTCCTCTCTAATTTAATATATTTGAATATATATATAAAATATTGGAATAATTTTGTAATTATATTATTTAAATTGGAATTATATATGTTTATATGGATGAAATATATATATATATATTAATAATATAAGAAATAATTTTAACGATCTACGAAATAAAAAGAAATTTAAAGAAATATATTTTTAATGAATTGTTTTATATAAATGATATATTATTAAATATATTAAAATATAATATAAAATATTTGAATGATAGATTTATAAATAAAAAAATAATATATTTATTTTTATTTGAAAATAAATTAGGATATATATATATTTTAAATATAATTTAATTAATAATATTTTTTTTGGATGATGAATGTAAATATTGGAAGATATTATATATTTCGGAATATATATAATTAAGAAAAATGATTTAAAATATTAAATTAAAAAATATATCGCGGCAATTATGGTAATATTTAAAATATTAAATATTTTTTGGTTTAATATTTGCTATAATAAGAAATGAAAATTGTTAGTAAACGATATTTATATTATTAAACATATTTGTATGATCTGGAAATTTTAAAACCCACGTAGGGAATGACGCAATTTCTCATTTTAATCAAATTTAAAGATTTAGAAAAAAATATTAATTTATGAATTACCTATATCTAACGCGAAAATACTAATGAATTGGTTTACAATACAACTAATGAGGCATTCAATGCGCCAATTGTAGGGCCATTCAGCAAAGCAAAAGCTATGATAGATAAATTGGAAGAAAGGAATTTCAAATTATTCGGATACGTGCTAAGAAGAGAAAGACAACACCCTCAACACCAAGTTATTTTCTCCACAACATCAATAATGCCAAGACAAACGATAAACCGCAGGGTGGGAAAATCAAGACTATATTGGACCATAAGCAACATGAAAAGGGCCTGGGATATTTGATATTTCAACAATCAAGATTAGCCTAGATAATATTTCAATAAATTGCAATATGAAATAATAAATTATACCATATCAACCATCCTTTCAAAAATATATATTCAAAAAATAATCCCAAGATTCACCTCTCAATATACATATTCTCAATATGAATCTCAATATGAAATCACCTCACCTTACGCTTCATACATTCGTTTATTTGATTAAAATTAATGGTGAGGACAGTGAGTGTGCCGATTAGATTATATATATATAATTTCTTGAAATAGATTAATATTAAAGATTTGATAATTATGGCAGGAAACAATTATATATTATAATATATATTGAATAAATTTAAAAAATATATATATATGGATAATTTATGAAATAAAGAAATATATAAATATATATTGATTTATTATATATAAATATAAAATAATATATATTATTAACATAAATTTATTATATAATTAGGAGAATTGAAAGATTATTAAATATATTCATTTTAAAATATATGATATATTTTTTTAGAATTATTTATTGTTATATATATAATGGATATTTATTAATAATGAATTAATATTTTATAATAATTTATTGAATGAATTTAAATATAATATTTATATTGGAGGAAATAATAATAATAATATATATATAGATATATTAGTTTCCATTGATTGCATTGGAGGTAGGATAAAAAAATATATATATTTGGAATGATTTCAGCGTCTGAATTCTTCTTTTATTAACAGAGGGGCGGGTTGGTGTAAGGCGCAATTTGGTGGTTTCAGGTTTAATTATATCAACCGCAGGGGCAGCCCTGTACATGAAGTTGGTGATTTTCAAAAATCTGTGCGTAAAATCAGAAGTCTGCTTTTTTGTATTGGCGGTTTTTTGGTATATTATAGATTTTTTGGGGGAATATTATATTTTTGTCGCATTCATTTCGGTATATATTGGGGGGGAACGTAAGAAACATAATAATAGAATGAATATATTATAAACATGAATTACCTGAACAGGTGCTTGTGCAAATGTTTTTCATTTTTCAATGCCAATCATTATTTGTCGAATGGACCATTTTCATGATCATATGGCATGACGTCGTGTATATCAACAATACGCTTGAGCAGATGGGTGTTTCAAAACAGAAAGGTGCTCAGGGATGGCACCGTGACACTTCCCATTGCAAATTTTGAAGAATAATACGTTGCCATCATCCAAACCAGTGGTATTGGACCTTCCACCAGAAAAGCAATGGTGAAGAAAATGCTTTCAAAGGCAATAGAGATGTGAGTGTTGATATTTGTGAAATCTGTATTGAAATTGGTGGGACGATCTATGTCGGGATATTTTCCTTGGGGAGGAATTCCATAATTGATTTTCTTCTCATCCCTCCCATGCCCAGCATGGCGCAGGGGAGTTGCAGGCTGGATGCGGGATACCATATTTCCAAAATCGATTCGATATGATTCATTGCCATTTCATGGATGGGAGGCACGCCTTCAAAACAACATGGAAGATCGGAACATATTTGTTACACTAACCATACATAGGAACATGCCCATTCATCATGTTACGCTGCAACACCTAGTTGACACATGGTATGATAGCAAGCCATGTACCAATACATTGTATTCTCCCAACACTATGAGATATCTTCAATTGGAACGATATTCAAATCTCGATAAAAGAATAATTGTGCAATTTGTTGGCATCGCACTCAGATAAACCTGTCCGTCTTTGTGTAAACCATTGGACTTCAGATTGAGTGGGTTTCATTTCATGTAGTGGCCGGAGGTGTTCACTCAGGTCATGATTCCAATTCAGGTCATTATCGCGCCGCCATTGAACATTCGGGATAGATATTGCTAGATGATTTTGAGGTTCCCTGCCGCATGATTCGGACCGAAGAATTTAGCAGAAACATATATCTTCTGTGGCTTATACCACAGACCCATCGAAACCGTATGATTTGGAGCCGCCCATTGCCAAGCTTAGAACCAGACGTAATTGCCATGATTGCGGATCATTTGGCCAATTGAGATTTTGTCGATATGTTATGATTTAGAATCTAACCCTACGTACATTCGTGCATTGACAAGCACCACTTGAATTGACCTCATCCGATCGAGGCACGCTGCCCTTAAGGTAGCCAGGATATAGCCCTATGCTATCGTCCGTAATCCAACACGGATGAACGATACATTCATTGGATGATGAATAAATAAATGAAAATATATATACCAAAATTGATGACCTTCTTTTGGATATTATTTATATTCTTTAAATGAAATATATTTAAATTTATCTTATTTAGATATCAATTTAATATATTCAATATAAATTATTTTCATATAAACAACATTATATATATATATTATTTAATAAATATATATATCCCCATAAATTATTATGATATTTATTTAAGATTAATATATTTTCATGACATTATTATTTTAGAAAAGAAATTTATGTATATTAATATCTAATATATATAATATTTATAAAGATTCAATGCAAAATAAATAATTCAAATAAATTTGGGAAATATAAAAATAATATTTAAAAATTTCTTGGTTAGACCCCCCCTTCTTCAATATGTCCCTAGATTTTTTGGTTATTTTCATCAATACATTTTATTTTAATATATGAATTTTAATTTCATTTAAAAAAAAAAAATATTGACCAATCCAACATTTCAAAATAAAAATAAATCATAATTAAGACAGAATCCTTACAATACATAAAATATTTAATAATATGTTTTTCAATTTTTCTAATTTTATTCTTATATTCATTATTCTTATTCATATATATATATATGAATACATCCATTATTAATGAATATCAATATAATTATTATATATATTTATATAATTTAATATATAAATACAATAATATTCTATTTTTTGCATAAAATTATTAATATATTTTAAATATATTTTATTAATAATTTCTAAATATAAATTATTTAATTTTTTAATTATAAATTTGTATATTTCAAAATTATATTATATTTATAATAGAAATATATATTTAAATCAATATTTTTAAATATCATAAATTATTAATAATATATATTTTAAAAGATACATATTATATATATATATATTCAATTTAATTAATATAAACAAAATTTCATCCAAATATAAAATAAACAACAATTTAAATATCATTTTTAATATTTATCCAATATATATTATAATAATTAAAATATTAAATATATTTCAATATTTTGGAAAATTCAAATCTAATTCCCATAACCCCACGTTCTCTATCATTTCCATTTTGTTAATATAATCTCTTTTTTTTAAATCTATATCAATTCTATCATTCTATCCCAAAATCCTATATAATTCCGGGCGCCGTTGCCGGAGCCCTTCGGTGGTTACCGAGGATCACCCCCAGCCGCCTAACCCACCGCGGGCGGACAGATCCCCTTATAACTTACAAAACATTTTGCCCGTAGTACAATAATGGAGCAAAATACATCCAACATAACCCCAAGATAGACCAACATAAGCCCAAGATGGGCTCAATATCGATCCAAAATAAGGCCAACATAGGCCCAAGATAGGCTCAACCTGGGCCCAAGATGGCCCAACATAGGCCCTAGCTAGGCCAATATAGGCCCAAGGTGGACCAACATCGGCCCCAGATGGCCCAACATATACCGTAACCCAAAATGGGCTCAACATTGCCCCAAAACCGCCCCATATAACCTAAAGATGGGTTCGACCTAGCCCCACGAGCACAACCACAACCAGAACCACCGCAATACCGCAACAACAACAACAACAATCTGTGTGCGTGTGTGTCTGATATCCGTCCCCCTTTTTTTCACCATGTCCTTCCTCCCTCTCATGTGTCGGCCGGCGCGCGGCTGTCAAACGTAAGCCTTTAAATCAAATCTTCCAAAAATATTGTATTTTATCAATACCATTTTCTACATATATGTCCAACTACAAAAAAAAAATATAGATAAATGCAATAAATAATTACAAATAGATAAATATAATACTTAAAAATGATTGAACATTTTTCAATGTTTTTACAAATAATCATCCCCCGGTGCGACGTCGCTTCTGCGAGGGCTCCAATTCCTTCCGCCGAGGCATTGTGGTGCAGGAATTTCTGTTGGTGGCGTCCTAAGACATATATATATATATAGATATTTATGAAATAGTTCAATTGGTGCTCAAGAAAAATGCATTGGTTGTTGCAAGTCGACGGAACTCCAGATGAAAGGAATTCCAAAAAAATTGAGAAGAAGAACCTTTCCTCTAGATGCAGCTAGTCTCATCGAATCGAGGATCAAATTAAATTGGTTCACGACCTGTCAGTGAATGTAGGGGCTTCATTCCTTGCCTTTCACAACTTATCGCGTCTAAAGCACCCACCAGCCCCCCGAACGACCAGGAAAAAAAAACGAGACCTCAACAGAACGCTCCACGAGATGGAGGATTCCTATCTTCAACTCACCTGAGTCTGTTCCTTCAAAATATGTCAAGTCATACAGGATTCCTATCTTCAACGCCAGTGCGAAGGAGTTTCTTGTGTGGGCCCTGTGTGGGCCAAAAACCCAACACAGAAAACACATAAGACCAGGGAGCATGAAACATGTGAATATGTATAGGCAATGGTCCGGTGTAGATTTCTGAGCTAGTGGGAGGCACACCCGGGTGTACGGCTGATCATTATGTTAATGCCTCATTTAAACCATATTCTAGACTCTACCCCCCAAAAAAGGCTGTCTTTTTTCAATACAAAGTTCGGCACCTGAGGAGCACCCGTCACGTCGCTCTGGACCCAAAAACAGGCAAGACAAGACCTAACAAGATCACTTCTCGAGGTCTGGATCACCTCTGAAGAGGTCTGGATCAACCTGTTTGGTCTGTAGATCTCGGAAAATTACATTTTCTGACCAAACAAGACCTCGATCTCTTGCAATCGCTTGAGGAGACTCGCACTTGACATCCTTTTTCTGGACCCCCCGCCGCGAGTGAGAGGAAAGAACCATGGAAAAACACAACCCACTCTTGCATGACAAATCCCATTGAACTTGAAGAGAAAAAAACCACCATTCCCATTCCCATCCATTCACTTTTGGGGATTGAATTCACTGAATTCCCAGAATTCGCCCTATGGTCTTCTCTCAGATCGGCATTCCCAGCCCTTCCAGCCTCCAGAATGCGATCGCTAGCAGCCAGGAGGCGACAAACCCCGGCCTTGGAGGTGCAAGCTATGACCAGAAGAGGTAGGCCCACCTAGGCCCCATCCTGGTTGAGTGTATTATGGAGACCCACCAGTACTGTAGGGTAGTCTATTGGAGACCCCAACAGGATGGTCCAGGTAGCTAGGGTCAGACCTTTTTGGAGCCAATCTAAGTGCACTTCCTCCAAAAGCAGCAACACAATCGTGGAGTTGTCCTTACAAGCTCTACTGTGTGTGCCTGCGATTTCTGAGCAACCAGGCTCCCTTGGCGAGTACCGCAAAGCTGGGATCAAAGGCCATCTGCACAAGGAAGGCGAGCGCGGGGAAGGAATGGATGTCTGGAAGCTTGTGCAACAAGACTATTATAGGGGTACATGGTACGAGTAGGTACCAAAGAAATCCACGGTGCCAACCCTCACCCACACCAACAAGCCAGAAAGTGGATTCTCTTGGGCATTCGGCTCTTGGTCTTCGGAGGAATAAACCGTATTCCTACTGGTGGAGGGTCACACAAATGCCAAACACCTTGTCACAAATAGAAGGATACCAAAGTCATTGAGAGTAAACATCAAGAAGCGAGATTTAGATTAGATCCGTGTAGTTACAGTTTCTTTTAGAGTTTCTAGTAAGCGGACAGTTATCGCAGGTCTTGTGTGTTGGAATCTAGATGTGGCCTGAGGTCCATTGTGATCATATCAAAAGAAACATGCATTGCTTCTTTCGAGCCCAAACAGAGCTGGCTCTCACCTCATTTGTGTCACCCTGTCCATCTGCCCTTGTCTCCCAAAATGGCTGTGCCTGCTTAGCAGCTTCGGCCAAATGCTTCTTCAGCCGCACCGCAGGCAGTGCCACACTCTCGCCCAGGCCGTCCGACTGGCCGGCGCCAGTTGGTCGGCGTTGGTTCATCACAAAGCAAGTCTTTAAGGGCCATTGGACCTTGAACTCAAGAATGTCCATCTGCCAAGGGGTTATTCTCCACCTGTTTTCAACTCATGTTCGATGGTCATTTTACCTAAAGAGATCAGTTGGTTTGCAAGCAAGCCAAAAATTCCTGAGTGTCCAAGCAACCAAACCAAGCGAAACCTAAGCCACACCTCGGTATGTACGAATAACCATAGAAATGACAACATATGGATATATGATATATGCCTTAGTTCGGCGTGTCCAGGCGGCTGTCAGACCCAGATGCTCCATGATGGGACAAATATGGCCTACCTTCACCGAAAACCACCAATCACGTAAGTGATATTTGCAGACATGGAGCATCTGGAGATGCAAACATATGAGCGGCGGACAAAACTTCTTGGTGTCCCCAATGCCAACAGTATGTTTAGGTTGGCCCGTATCGGTTTCCAGTGTTTTGGAACGCAGGCAATAATGAACTACTTTCAATCAAGGTTTTGACCATTTAAAATATGTACCAGGCGGCTCATGACTAAAGCACACGTACGGAAGGCGTTGTCGGATGCTCATATCTTAAAATATACACAGCTTGCTAGCTTCAGCCGCGAAGACGATGGTCGTTGACCACATCACACGCTTCAGATCCACAGCTTCGCTTCTTGGCACCCAGGAAGTTCTTCTAAGACATGGTCGTTTCTACACAGCCACAGCTTGCTAGCTAGCTTCAGCTGGCTTCAGACCAGGGGTCGTTGGCTACAGCTCAGCTTCTTCGCCGAAACGGGGCACTGATCTCCACAGATCTCCACGGACGACGCACTAGTCATCTGACACCGGTCGCTTCTCGTCATCTGACATCGGTCGCAACACTGCCTTCAGCTCGCTGGTCTTAGGTGCCTTCTCCTGGCGACACGAATGACACGAACAGGGGCTAGGGGCTAGGGGCGGCTAGGGGTTTTGTGGGGGCCCAGCCTCCAACAGTGGTCCAGAAAAATATTGGAGTATGATATATAGTTTTATATATGTTTACAGTATACATAAATTGTCACAAGTTAATCATATCCACTGGAGCCGGGGCTGCCCCAATCATTGCTAATAACCTACTGAAACAGGCGTGCTTGACGTAAACCAATAGTTCTCTTTTGGAGGAATATGATTCAACTTCCCTCTCCAACCCACAGTAGAACGGTGTCCCTATTCTTACTGGTTCAAATGACAAAGGAATAAGAGATTGAACTCTTTTGTGTGGTCTGAAAAATAGTTCCAAATTGCTTTGAATGATGGCACCACGATCCAAATCAATCGCCACACACCATCGCCACCTCTGTTCCTCTCGTTCGTCTCGGTTCCTATCCTGCAAGAGCGCCGTCAAGCGCTGCAGCATGCCCTCTCGCAGCTCTTTGAGCTCATCACACTCCATCACACCTCTCCACGACAAAAAAGGCGCTACCGAGGGCGGGCGCACTCGACAACACTGAGATCTCCATCTCCACGGTCACCGGTCGACGCCGGTCGAAGCTGAAGAACTTGGAGAATATCGGTTCTTCAACTTCGGTGAAACAAACCACCATGCACTTCTCGACCTGGAAAGGAACTCAGTCCTCATGAGGAGTCAAAGCACGAAACGAAACTAAATGGCGTTAGTCTCGTTAGCTAGAACATGCTAAACATAGAAACGCAACCAACAACATTCACTCATTCACAACATTTCACAACGCTTCATCCACCCTTGTATTGATCATCATTGAGCGTTTTGAAGGAGAACCCAGCATCCCACACACACAGCCCTCCCATGGCCTTTGTTCAAAGCACAAGGGCCACTCGCCGTCCTTCTGTGGCTTGTTGACACGTGAGCTGGGGTGTTTTGACTGGTGAGCTGGGGTGTTTTGACTCGTGAGCTGTGCACACTGAACTGGTGATAGGTTTCAGCTACCAGTATATGAGTTCAGTGGCTGTTCAAAGCACAGTGCATCGCTGAATCCCGTTGATTCAATGGCTATTTTGACTGGCTTTTGTCCTTCTGAGACTGTGATGATAGATTCAACGAGTTGAAATCGAATCCTCTTCAACACGACGAAGGCTAGGATGGTTGTTGACGATCCAGCATAGCGTTCTGAACGTTGGGAGGCTAAAGTTTTAAGATGGTTTAAGATGTTTTTAAGAAATCACACCTAGAAACCGTAGAAACTCCGAGAAAAACACCTTCAGACCAAACAAAACACACCTTGAGACAGCACTGAAGCACTGCAAACCAAACACATCAAGAAACATCTTGATCTATATTGATGCACATGATGCACTCCCATCACATCAAAGCACCGCAGTCGCTGATCTCTCTCCCCAAGCCGGCTGGCCCAGCTGGGATCAGTCGCAAGCCAAGGAGCCCTGTCTGCAAGACATGCTCCACCAAGCGAGGGTGCATGGCAACCAAAGACTCGTAGCCGGTGCAGGTCAACTCATCTGAAACCTCGATTCGATCGCCGAAGAAGCGAATTCTTGTTTTTTTTCAGTGGCGGCGAGAATGAGGGCGCCCTATATGGGGTGTAGTTAAAAACATTGGGAGAGAGACACCCTTTTCAATCGGCTCGCCTCGCCAGCTGCAGGGAGTCAGAGGAGGTCGAGTTTTCTGAACTGAACCTGGGGGGGGTCAAAAACCACCTGGGAGGTCTCTCCTTGCGTCAAAAACGCCACTCCCAAACCATGGGCTGACAGAGGTTGAAGGACCCTAGTTCGACTGTCCCAGTAAAGGTACCCCAGCTTACAGCTCCTGCTGAAAAAAGGTCATTTCACCTCTGGTGCTGGGTTGACCTCACGTTGACGTCCACAGGTTCTCTCTTCCATCTCCACAGCTTCTCTCTTTCCCTCCACCTGGCGGGGCGTATTCACCCCCTGCCGTCCAGGCTTAGTCCAGGCGTCACTCAAGGTGGCATGGGCCACACCACCGCTGCAGAGAAACAGGTCCCCAGGCCGCAGGAGGGCAATGCACCGGGCACACCTGGGGGGCTCGGTGCGGACCGAAGGTCCAAAGCCCAGGCACGAAACCATCCCTTTTCGGCCCCTTTGGAGAAGGGCCTGGACCGGATTCTTAAGACAATATATATATATATATTTAATACATGGTGATGCATGATGGTTGAAATTCACATTAAAAAGATCTTGTCCTGAAACCCACTCTTTGATGCGATGTTTTGCACACCGACTTCTCTCAAATCGTTATCTTTTTGCCACTCTGTAGTAGTTACAGTGGATTGAGAGTAGATGGCACAATCACCAAGTTAGGTGGTTTATATGGATCCCCATCTCAAAGACATCTTGGGGTGCCAGTGCCATTTCTCACCTCTGAAACCACTGTAGTAGTCTTCGAACTCCCCAAACAGGCTTCGTTTCGCCCCCATGGTCGCGTCACATGGTTGCACCTTGGCCACTAAGTCGCTCCTGGGTGGCCTGTCGGTTAAGCCAGGAAATAGCGGAGGATGTAGGATTTACCATCACCCCTTGTTGCAACCTTGCTGTGGGCTCTTAGGCTCTTGGAGCATATCTAAATCCACCCCCGTGGAAATATCACCAAAAAAGAACCCAACGGTCCTTCTCAGGATCTTCACTCGACTCCCTTTAATGATATACACCAAAAAGGCTCCTCACTTCACTGGTCACTGTGGACTCTGCTTCTTCCCTTCCTTTGGGCAAGGATCTTCAATGCCTCCAATTGCTCTTTTCCCAACGGTGCACGGAAATGCGCATCGCCCATGTCCCGCACCAGGCGTGCGCTCTCGGCGCCTGGCGGTGGGAAGGTGGGAAGGCGGGAAGGTGTGGTACAAAAGGAGCTTAGGGAAAATTGACAAATAATACCAGATATTGATGTAGACTCTTGATTAATAACATAATATATATACATATGTGAAGAGGTTTAACTACCATCCATGTAATGTCTGTGTGGGTATTATTAATCAAGAGTTTATCTACATTAGTGACCTTAACCTTAAGGAGTGCCTAATGTCCGCACCTTCGAGATAAAGGGGCTTCAGCATGGTCTTCGGATGGGAACATGTTGGAACATGTATTTTATGTTTGTTCCAAGCATTTCTATTTCTGCACTCATCTTGTTCGCCTAATTCTGGCGACGAGGATCTCTTTGTGGCAAACGTGGAACCATTTCCAACCGCAAGAGTTTATACATACAGTGTGCATTCTAAAGATAAACGAAATGGCTGGGCCGGATGAAACTATGACCCCCGCTGCTTGGCAATCGAATGCAATCGATGAGCTCAAACCAATCTGCGAGGTATTCTGGACCAATTTCAAGCCGTCAGTCACTTCAGTCACTGCACGAGCCTGCTCCGGAGAAGTGTTGCAAGCATGTAACACCACGTAACACCTATAAAGTAGCTGTTGCCACTCTAGTTCGGTTGCTTTCATTTCTTCGTCATATTCCCCTGACCCCACCGTGGCCTGCTGGCCAAGTGACGAGGATCTTGTGTCCCCGCCAGTGCTTTCCCAGGTTGCTCCAAAGCACCTGTGGCACCGGGTATCACGGCAGATGGTCTAACCGTCCCCATGGTTCACGGATTTCACAAGCAATGCAACTGCATGTCAGGACTGCTGGTTTAAATCTTTTCAGAATGCCAACCAGCTCCCCCCAAGATCCCCCAAGACCTTTTGAAACCCATAGCTGAGTGGCTGAGTGGGTCCAGAAAAAAAGGTGGCGTTCTCGCTTCCAGCCTGGTCCACATGAAGACCTTTTCCACTGCCTCGCCCGCCGATGAAGACTCCATCGTCGTAGCCTGAATGGTCTTTTTTCAAAACCGCGGGGGGGGGACACCCCCTGCAGGTTCGCTACACTTGAGTCACAGTCAAAGCTGTACACTGGGAAAGCTGTAAGGTGAGAGAACAAATGCCTCAGGTCCCATTGAACCCTGGTCAGTTGGATCTCATTTTTCTGTTCGTGGATGGCGAATTCACCTGACTCCATGAGTCTGTTGCTTTTCTTCTAAGCTTTAAAAATGGGGACTGGACAAACAGACCGGGGAGGGTGGGTCTGATGGGTTCGGGGGTACCCCAAAACTGCCTGAACTCTTTCATCTAGTGACCCCTTCGATTTATCTCAATGTCCTGTGCAATCCGAATTGGCAAATACGTCATTTGTCACTATCCCGGACCCTCTTAGGGGGTAGTTGCCAGTATTGTTTTGGAGACAACAATACTCACCACAGCACTTTGGGGGAGATCGTGAAGATCACAACAAGGTTGCGACAAGGTCAAGAGGGATGTTATGGATCTGGGAATTCCAATCCCATGCCAAATTTCCTGAATTATGTTGGTTGGTATTTTCAGTCAGTGCTCAAAGCCAGCCAAGCCTCAAAGAAAATTAATTTGACTGACTGACTGATTGTACCCAAAGCCACCATGGCTGGTGTGCTGTCACTCTGACTCCAAGCAGCAATTCCAGTATAAGGTCCACTTCGCCAAATGTGCCAACCTAGCTTGGGATCCGCAGCTAAGATGAAGACTTAAAGCAACCAAACTATGCATCATGAAACTCTAAATCGGTGCTAATCAATATAACTAGGAACACATTGAACACATGCATTGAAAATGATCACTATTCTAACACTGGCAGGGACTGGCTGCCACTCGTAGGTTCACGGTTCACGTTTGACATGCTTTGGGATGGTTTGATGGTGTTTGATCATCTTCTTCCAAAAACAACTCCTGTCATCCTACCTTCATCCAGGCCAAGCTCCAAAACACACCCAAAGCTCCACCCGTTTTGGACCTCACAGCACCTCCAACACACCTCACACCTTTCCTTTACACCTCAGCGATACGCCATGGAACCAATCTCTCCCATGGCGTAAGCACAGGCTCTTGGTGCTTTCCGTGACGCCATACGCCTCGGCCGCCGCGTTGGCCGTGCGCCTCGGACCGCGGCGAGCGTCGAAAGCCGTCGAAGCCACCGATCCGGTGGGGTTCGACCCCTCCTGACGATCTAACTTTTTCCATTTGAATAACCACCCGAAGAAATGGGTGGTGGTGGCTGTTGTAGCTAGAACAGTGTTCACAGTGTTGTCTGTCTTTTTGGTGGACACAGGCAGCAGTGTTTTCCGTCTTTTTGTGAAGTGTTCCTCCTAAGGCGGAAGCCTACAAAGTGGGTAGTAGGGTACCAGTAGGTTGATCCTCTGAAGAGGGACCCTCTTTGAGCTTAGGATTTAAATGCCATTTGCTCTCGCAAGACATAGACGTCACGTTCTTGGTTAACCCTTAAGAGTATGTTCAAGTTAAGATGCCGGATGCACAACTGACCCTCATTCACTGTTGGCTAAGGAAGACACCCAAGCGGCTCTCCTATCATCCATCTTCTACAAGGTGATGGATCCAAGTGTGCTACTCTGAGGTAAGTCACGGCGAGGAAACTCTCAAGCGCCACGATCCAACTGTGTGTGTATATGAAAATAGGGAGACTTCCCAGTTCGACCCCCTGGAAGAAGCAAAATAGACCAAGGCCCATTGGTTGGGCGTCTCCCCTATCTCAACTGCACCCAAGCAGCTCCCGCAAGCGTCGCATCTCACACGCATAGAGCTGCGACCTCGGAGCGCAGGCTGCGACCACCTCCGGACTCACGGCTCTCGCACGCCTCGTCTACCAGTGACCCAAGACCGTGTGTTACGGACAGAACCCACCCTCCAGCTCTTTTGTCTTCCCTAGAAACCCGCCCATCCCAAACCACCGCTACAGCACCACTATATAACCCTTCTAATTCCTTAATTAAGGTAAACATAGTAAAGCTGTTAAGTTCTTATAACATTCAACCTAACCCCCAGCACATCAAAGTACCCTACTAACCGCTCCTCTGCTGACAGGCTCAAGACACTCCTCCAACTCCCCGCGCTCCAAGAGCGCTTCGGCGGCGCTCAGCCGCTGCTGCAGGTCGCGCCAGGCCTCCGGCATGCTGCTGTGCGCCAGGCCTTCGGCGGGCGGTGTCTCCTTTCTTCCGCGGTGTACAGGAGCGTTTCTGCTGCAGGTTCGGATCAAAAGGGTCAAGCATTCTAGGGTCATAGGGGGTGAAGAATGAGTAATTAGAGAAGTCAATGAGCTGGGGGGAGATGGGGGCAAACACTGTAGGGTTCAAAGCTACAATGACATTCACATAAAGCGTCGTAAATCTTGACCGAGTTGCTGACAAGGAGGGATGTGCTTTTCTACAGGGGCATGAGGTGTTCACATGTAGATCAAATCCACTGTGCCGAATGTCTCCATGAATTCATGGGCTGTTCATGGCATCCCACCGCACCTGGAACACACTGTATACAGGACGATGTCTCAACAGCCCCCAGGGCCCATGGGGCCTAATTTGTAGTCACGCAACAACTCCCACGACCCGCGAATTCGTCCATATTCATGCAACCAACCCAGCAAATCCCAGAAAAGTCCACATGTCCAAGCCGGCATAAACTGCCTGATCCCATCCAGGTGCGATGGATGAAAAAAGGGCTCGTCGTTTTCGCAGACTCGTCGAACTCTCGAGGTTCTCCGGAAGAAGAGCTTCGAACTCTGAGGGGAGCACAGGTAAGCCATTCAAACGTTGGAACTGCAGGATTAGATGATGGTCATTCAACCTATGACCAACCGAGCCCTCTGACACTGTGCGAATATCACTCTGGCCTTCACCATGCCAAAGGCAAAAAGGATACCTTAGGATGTCTGTGGCACGTGCAAATCTTGAACACACGGCTGGTGTAGAACAGGTCGGCTTCGCTTCAATGGGCTGCAAAGCTCTTCACATGCTGGGGCTCTTCCGGCAGGGGCTCCAACGGAGCCCTGTCTAGTCATTGGAGCCCTCGGATGTTTCATTTCCATCAGATAATTAGGCAATCAGAAAACCAGAGATGGAGACGATGTAAGAGATAGGCAATCAAAAAACCGGATATTTCTATCAGACCAGAGATGGAGACGATGTAGTCAAACACTCTTTCTGTTTCGAAAACAAACGGATGACCACCCACCCACCCCAATTGCTCGGTGCTTGGGACGTCAGGCCACGGTCTTGGTAAGGCCTCTCGCTGGACGCCCCGATCGTCTGGGAACTCCAGGGCAGCCTGAGAGGTTGGGTCAAGACGAACGGGAAACCCGGGTGTTTCCCACCGAACATAGACAGAATATCGACTACTAGACATGGTGGATACCTACCAGAGTGATATCCAGGCTCCGGGGTTTTGAGACCCACATGGAACCTCATGGCATGTCATGAACATGGACCAGAATGGAAGACCAGCTGAGGAGCAATCAACCCTTTCTCATTTAGGTTCCATATTGGTTCCATGTTGATCTTCTAGGGTGTAAAAGGATAAACAATTTTCTCACTTTGAGTGATTCCCCACCCTAAGAGGCGATTCTTAATCACACGTATTGACGGACCATGTACTAGTTTGACGATAAAATTTGACGATAACCACACACATAGCGAAATAAGGGGCTTGACATTCACTACTTCTATTGGACACTCCACTGATGCACACAAAATCTAAGGCCAAATTGATATTGCTCTACCTAGCTGTGTCTGACACTCATGAAACTCACCTCCGCCTTCGCTGTTTTTCGGCAAATCCACCTGGACGCGCCGTTGCGCCCGCGCCGGCCTTGTGCTCGGAGAGCTCTTGCGGCCCCAAGCGACGCAGGCACTTCCTCCGCGAGAGCCCGAGAATCGGTCCCGGAGGTCGGGACGGTGGTGGAGGAGAGGTCCAACGGGCTGCCGCGACCTCTACACCCCGGACATCAACCGGCCCAATCTCTAATAGGTAAAGATGCCAGGCGTATAGATCTCGTGTTTGGGATTGTGATATAGAATGTCGGCATCTTGTTTTTTGGCCAAATTCAGAGGGCGCTGCTAATCCTATGTCACAACTTTTGGAATGTTTTCAACCGTTTGACATGCAGAACTCTTGTTCGCTTGTTCGTGCTTGGATTATCTGAGTCTGGTACTGCTTAATTAAGCTAAACGATTGCTAAGGATCATGATCATGGCCTGAGCCCTTTGATCCTCCAAACCAAACCTCCAAAACCGGCTCCTTTGAACCTATCAGCACCCCGAGATCTCTATTTTATGGCTCTTGACAAGGACGCAAAAAACACCACTCCTGTGCACAAGTTCTGCAGGTGTTTCACCACGGCGCGAACCGAGACGCGAGACGCAGGGTCACGCCGCGTCATCGTCAGACTTTCAGTGAAGGGGTGACCCAGGTGCAGGGAATTGTAGGTAGTATCCACCTTGAATTCCTAACCAGAATCTTCCTGTACTTGCCTCAAACCTCCCAAAAAGTTTCCCATGCGGATGCGTTCCAAAGCTGGAGGAACCAAAAACCTCTGGGTGGACGGTCTAATTCGCAACCCGTTCATGTCTCTAACAGGGTCGTTGAAAGCTCCCCACTGTTTGGCAAAACGACCCACGAGGACACCTCGTCATCCTTTCAACATACACCTCGACGAACTCAATGATGAAAGTGGAAAAACCCCTTCTTTGCAGAACATTTTGAAAAAACAATCTTCCCTTCGGGGCCATGAAATGCACATCATCCACTTTCGTATCCACTTAGGCTACCCCAATCAAAGTGCAACCTGTCTTAAGCCGGAACACCAAAACACCTCTTCCATGGCCGGCCATGGCAGCCACCATGAGTCTGTTCCATTCAATCTCTTGCATGTCCATGCCTGGAACAAAAACACAAACTGCATTTCCATGGCTGGAAAAGTGAATCGTGTCATCTTCCCACCATGAGCATCTTCCCCGACTTCATCTTTTCACCCTCCAGGCTGCAGCACAGAGCCCTCGGCCATGGCCTTCGTGAGCCTCAATGGTTTCCGCGCTGCTGCGCGGTGCCGCTGTGTTGAACCAGCTGATATCGGACATTTCGGGATTTGCTTGCGTTCAGCTCTTCTACCGTCTCAGGTTCAGTACAACTGAACTCTCCATGCGTGAAAGTGTCGAACACATCACTGTACCTGTACCGATATAAGAGGCTTACCAGTGGATCCCATGCTGCGCCTAGTGACTAGTGACTATAGTGGCCTCGCTCGCTTCGGACGTCACACGTCGATGAGTTCTGCGCTCCGATAATCATCACCCCCCCCAACCGGTGAAAGGGGGGCACCTTCGAGACACGAGCGCATCCTCCAAGGATACAGGTTACTTCTTCACCAATCAGTTGTAATTATGGCTTACTTGATCCACACTGCTGAGTTGTATCTATGTTTGGTTTCTTTGGTTGTTTCTGCTTGATGATTCGGTTTTTGCTCCTCAGGTGTCTTCCCATGGCCGAAGTTCGCTTCGCCGAGGCGCCAGGAAGGCAAGGCCTCCTCCGCAGAGAGGCCCACCCTGGCGGTGACCGGACTGCAGGGAAGGTGGTTTGGAGGTGGTTGCGGTCCACGGATGATCCGTTGGAAGAGGTATGAAGAGCTGGAAGAAGGGGCTCTCAGCCATTGTTCGCACCATCCCGACGCCTACAAATGGGTGTGTCTTTGAAGGAGACACCCACGATGTTCCGAACCGAACCTCGGGGGGTTGGAATGCCGAGGTCTCCCTGTGTTTGAGCTACAGAGCGCCCAAATGTTTTGGCTTGAGGAATGGCAGGAATTGCAGAAGGCAACACAACACATGGAGTGTTGCCGCAGTGTTGCCGCAATGGAGTTTCTCAGTTCTGGAAAGCAACAAAATAAAACAGCAGGATGCTTCGGTCTGGTGCTAGGGCAACTAGGGACGACATCGATGTTTCAATTTGTTTGGAATAAATTCCCTGATTGCAATCCAAAGGTTTTAATTCCGCTGATGACTCTGTTGATGGATATTTGGCTTTTGTATGCAATTGATACTTGTCCTCAACAAAAACAACGGGCCCCTCTTAGAACCGGTTCCTTGTTGGTATAGGGGTTGGGTATGTTTGCGCACGGAGTTGATTCGCAGCAGCTTCCACGACCGGAAGGCCATCGGGCCTGCGCAGGCCATCGGGCAAAATGACCACCTCCTCACGTAGGTGGAAGGTGGCTGTGGAGGTCCGTTCTGTTCTGCCAAGCAACAGGTAAAAACAGATCTGCCGTGTTCCATCTTAGCAACAACAACAACAACAACAATGTACAAAAAATGCAACCCCGTTATAACATATCATTTTTCTTTGCCTCTAGAGGGGGTGGAAACAACAACTGCAGCCCCGTCGTTTTTTTCCCCGAAAACAACCCGCCAACAAACACTTTTACCAGTAGTAGTGGTACTAGTGGTACTAGTACTAGTGGTCATAGTAGTAGGAATGATATGCAAATAGTATGGCTGGATAGCCAAAGCTGTGTTTGCTTTGTTTGTCATGGCTGGATAGCCAGTATAATGTAAATAGTATGGCTGGAGTAAGAGTAGAGGGTTCAGCTATCCAATTCCTGAAGCGGTTCAAGTGGGCCACTCCCATTCGCAACACAATAAGCTCAGAGGGCTCAGTTCAAACTCAATCAAAGGCATTTAACAATAAGCAAACTTTTTGGCGCAGGGCCTCTTATCTTTTGTTTATTCCAGCTCGGAACAGCTCGAAACTGTGTCAAACGTCTCAGGGCTCAAGGCAAACACCCCTAAGAAAGGATGACAGGAGTCATTCGGGTGAAAAATGTAACCTTAGATTCCAATGCCAACGAAGCCAGGTCTGTGATTGGAGCATAGATCACGTCATCGCGAGTGGGTCAATTGTAGTGTGTGTGTCCAGTCATATGGAAGGTCACATTGGTCAATATCCATCATACGCAATGCCTTGTTGAAAAGTGTTGTTGAGGTTGTTTTCAACGTTCCGGGGAATCAGGGCCTCTCTGCGAAGAAGAGCTTTGAGCGACAAAGCGAAAGCCGAAAGGGTACCCTTATGTTTTCACCCCACCATTACTTGCAAGTGTCATTGCCTTGTCTGCCCACATGTGTTGCAATTGACCTCGTTCTGGCGAGGGAAAGTGAGGAGTGAGGAGCTTATGGGCCTCTTTGGCCATCTCAGGAGCAGAAAGGCGCGCAAGCTTCTTTGGCCAACATTTTATACTACCAGATGCTGCCATGGAACTTTCTGCTGCAGCCAACCAGCCAAGCTAGCAAGCCAGACCGTGCTCCAGGACTGGTGCATGTCAGACTGTGGAGGTGTACGCACGTTCGCACGTGCATCGTGTACCAACCAAGCAATGAATTACGAATAGGCTTGCGTAGCTTAATGGTATCTCGTAGCTTAATGCGATGAAAGACACGGAGCAGTTCTGGGCAAAGCGACGCGCTGCCGCTATTGCTGATGTCACGCTGGGTGTTTTTTGGTGAGCTTGGAGCTTTAACATGGAGGCCGCGCCGTTTCGTTTGGCTACGCCTTCGGCAGCTAAGAATCACACTAGCCCTGCAAATAGTGAGCCAGGGGCGACTGCAGAAAGAATCGTAAAACGACAGCAGTGGCAGTGGCTGACAAAGATGACACAAACAGGGGAAGCAGCACAGCAGCAGGGGAGTATGTGCAAACCACGCAGAGGGACGGCATAGGCACCGGAAACAAGAACATGGGACAAAGTTTCCGGCAGACTGCAGATGACACGCGTGGCAATTGGAGATCGCAAGTCAACTTTGGAGACATGGAGACACAACATGGCAGGGGCAACAGAACCCTCGCAATACCGGCCATTCTCCTTGTTGCTGCCCGCAAGGCACTGCCCCTTCCGTTCCCTGTAGCTCAACATGTGAATTTCACCGAGTCTGTGCTTCTGGTTATCGGAATTTTGTGCTCTAGACAATTTCTTCCTGTTTCCACATCAAAAGTCTCAGACTTGCTGAAACCAGCCTGAGTTGTGGGGTGGAAGGCAGTGCGCAGCCGTTTGCAAACTCTGGCTTCTGGACCAAATCACCACAAAGTAAGCGTTGGGGGAGAAGCGGGCAAAGCCATTGAGAAACTCTTGGGTTTCTTGAAATAGGATTGAAAAACCATCGACGTACTGCTGCTACACTCCTACATTACATAGCTCTGTTTCCATGAGCAAACACGCCTCCTGTCCAATGTTCTTGGACTCCAAAGGCAAGCCCACGGAATTTCAACGCACTTGCCATAACAAATGCACAATCACGTCGTATCACGTCATATACTGTGACGAGGCAGCCGCGGAAGCTAATGAGTGAGGGAAGTAAAGCTAGAAGCTCCCAAAACATAAAAATATGTAAATAGTTACACAAGTAACTTTTTTTGTGTATAAATAAACTATAGCGGTTCAAGTTCAAGATAGGTTTCAACCTGCATATCAGAACGTGGGTGTAATGGTCCGGTACGACGTGGGGGTGCGACGTTTGGTGCATGTACGGCGATATGGTACCACGTGTGAGTACGATACTTAGTACAAGTACAACGGTATGGTACGACATGTGGGTAATATGTTTGATGCAAGTGTGGTCTCTGGATATACCTTGTTGGGTGAAGGGATCTCAAGAATTTATGATATTTCAGGCAACAAAGGGTTCCGCAGACCTATGTGACATCGTGTAGTGTGTATTGTTTTGTCGGAGTTGACCACAGCCCTCATACAAACTGATTTCCTCAAGGTTGGGCAACTTGGTCAAGAAGCGTATTTACATGACGCAAGGTACTCCAAAGAGACCAGTTCTCATCCGACAGTGCTCGCTAACTTTCACATGCTTTGAAAAGCAATTTGTTGATGTGAGCGCTATGCATTGTCTGCCCTTGGGTGCGCGTTGTCAAAAAATGTGAAACATAAACAGGTGTAATGTTTGACCCAAATAACCTATCTGTACGATGTACCTGAGCCATGCGCGTGTGTTTTGTACTATGTACAAGGTTTGAACCTGTAGTTTACAGAGGGTGTCCTTAGGGGGTCCATATTTTGGTACAAGGGGTTGGTACGAGGGAGTGGTGCATGGTAAGGGCGCATGGTGCAGTGATGCTAGTACATGGCAACACCTCAAAAACACCAAAACCGGACCAGCCCAGACTTCAGTGAAACAAGTCCAACAAGTCCACCTACTGACGAAACCAACGTTCCCTCAAACCTTCAACCGTATCCCTAACCTTGTCCCCTTGAAGTTAGCAAGTTACAACATGTGACAATTATGTTGGGCGGCTGTTTTTGTTTCCCACCACCACCACAACAACAACAAAAACAACACAGTCAGAACCAAACCAACCCAAAAAACATTGTTATCTGGGGTTCGGTTTGTTTAAATCCTTCTTATAGGACTGTATTGTTTTTGATTTTAGTCCTGTCCTAAGAATTTTTGTTTGGACTTGTGTTGGATGGTTCCCGTCCTTGATTTGATTCGATCTTAAAGGTTCCGCTCCTCCAAATGATCCTCCAAGAGCAATGCTTCAGCAAACTTCTGCGGGTTCTCAACATTACGTGGAGCTTTCCTTAGTTGCTGGCACCAACCAACACACGGCCGATTGATCTCCTCCAACAGGCCGAGCTCTTGGAGGCCTTTACTGAAAACATTTGTGGGAGTGTATTGAAATACAGAGAGTCCAAACCCCAAAACCAATGGGATTGAGTCTACCTGTTTGCAAGGATCTTTCGGGGTCTCCCCGCTCTTGTCAATAGAGCAGGTCTCCTCAAATAACACCAAACATCCAAAGTCGGCCTCCAAAACGGTTTCTTTCGATATGCGGAAAGAAACTGCATATGTCTAAAGACCTTTACCTCTATGTCTACCGAAGAACAAATGCATACTGACCAGCTCGTCTCAAAACATGGGATTGAGCAACAGCTTCCGTGCCAAGCAGCCTACAATCCAACCCGCTCATCCCCTGCACTGATCCCCATTCAGGGTCCCATGATCTACCAGCTTGACACAGCAACTAGCACCATTCTCTACCCAAGGGGCAACGGATCCTCCAGCAGTTCCTGAGTGTTGGCATGTCAGGAGTCTGAGGAGATGGGCCTCTTCCTCCCCCAAGTGTAAATGATCCTTGATGCTCGCGCCATGAAACGACTAGCGTGATTGAAACGACTATATAGGCAATACCTATACTTGTTGGTAGAAGATTTCATGGTCATCCACCAGGCCATGCCAACCACTTCCATGATTCTTTCAGGAGGGTTGCACTTTACAATTCCTACAGAAAGGGAGGCAAAGGATGCGAGCACTCTCAATATCCATTAGAACAGTCACGTTTATTTGTCGTCTCTTTTGTTTTTCCCTCTCTGTCTCTGTATCTTTCTGTCCGACCAACTTAAGATGCGTGTCTATCTATCTGTGCTGTGCATCCTCTTCTCTCTCTCTCTCTTCCCGCCATCCTGACTGTCTATAGCTTCTTACACAACTACTCTCCAAGTGACTCCCAAACAAAGGAAGTTGAAGCAATAACCAATTCAACAAGAACCCAGCACCAATAAAACATGGAGAACTACACCCTGGAAGATTAACATGAAACCTGATAACAGGCAATCAAATTTTATACATGTGAAAGTCTCTTTTTGCACGCTTTTTTCCGCTGATCTGTCTCGGACGGTGGCAAAGAGCACCTAGGCCACCAGAGAGGGTAGCCATCCATGGCATCAGCACGATAACTTGAATGTCTTGATGTTGCTTGACTATCTTGATGTCCTTTGATTGCTGATTTTCATTTGATGATTTTGATGTTGTTTGATGAATTTGTATGTCTTTTGATGCTTCTTGATGCATTGCGACGGTTTTACGATTGAACAACTTGGATGCACAAAACAGACACATCATGTTGCAGAAGACAGAGAGAGAGACAGAGAGACAGAAAGACAAACAGACAGACAGACCGACCGACCGACCGAGACAGACAAACAGACAGACAGACAGACAGGGACAGACAGACAGACCGACCCAACCAACCGGCAGACAGAGAGACACAGACAGACAAACAGACAAACAAACAAATGAATATGATGAAGTTGACGGAGGATCCAACTCTGTTGAGAGGGATTGGAAAAGCGCCGATTCGAGTTCTGTGTGTTTTTGGTGTTGGTTGTTGTGTGATGTGAGAATGATGCACGAGATCCAAAGTAATTATGTCAGGATCAAAAAGGGATGTGTGCAAAATCATGCCGATCAACGACATACATGTACAGGTTGCGATGTGTAACAGATCGGCACAAGCCCCCCGCTAGTTGTGGAAACAAAGTGCGTCATGCCATGGGTGACCGGCCACGGAGGGATTCAGTTTTGCTGAGTCTGTCATGTGCCAGATACTTATCATCGATTGTCAGATAGGAATTTAGAGATTAGATAAAAAGCTCTTTTCCCTCCTTAGCCCTACCCGTTCTCGGAACGGGTTGAGGATCCGTGCTGGGGGTAGCGCGGCACCCGCGCTGCGCTGCGGGCGCCGCTCTTTTCGGTGAAACCCGTCAGTCCGGCCCCGCTTTCTCGCCGCTCATCGGTCGGCGGGCGTCCCCCGCCAGGCTGCCAGCCAGTGGCACTCGGCCGATTCGATCTCCTGCGGAAGAACGTGGCGACGGGGGTTTGATGGGGAGGTGGTTCTGGTGCTGTCTGTCTGTCTGTCTGTCCGTCCGTCTGTCTGTCTCTCTGTCTGTCTCTCTCTCTCTCTCTCTTTCACATTGACGCCTCCGGACATGTACCCCATGCAAGCAAGCACAGGCAGGGAGCGCCAAAAAGGCGCACAAAGGGGAACTCAAGCACTGTATGTCGAATGTAGATAGTATTAGATCGATAGATGATCTTCAATCTGCCTATGAAGGAGGAATTGATATTATAGATATTATGATATGACCCACGTCTGGGGGAGTTTGATTCCTTCGTGCCCAGCCGCGCGCAGCAGCTCTCCTCCGGGCGGCCGCTGCCACGGCAGGAGCAAACTTCGACCCTGAAAGTCAGCCGGACGCATTTATGCTGGTGACACATCAAAAATGCCCAAAAGCTTTTTGAAATAGTTAAGGAAATGGACAATGGTGAACATCGCCAGATCACAACATGCCATCTGTCATTGCGGATGCAACTGTTATTAAAGAACTTATCAGTCATAGTAGTCAATAGTGTCACTAGCCAGTTTGAAGGCTTCCTCCTCTGAACACAAAAATCATTGGTTGGAACGGTTCACAGTGTATAGGCCTCAGCCGTAGCTACCATTCCAGGAGGCCGCCTACACTCGCTGAAATCATCATGGAAGTGGATGGCATGGCCCCTTGGATGACCATTTTCCTATATAAACAAGTGGTGTTTTGGCTAGGTTGTACTTCTGAAAAGCACCGAGCCCAAAAGTACATAAACGCGTTCGCAGAATCTGAAATGAACTGCTCTACAACCGGCTTTTGGGGGTCCACACACGTTCCCTTCCAAATCGGCTTCAGACACTTCAGCGCTGCCCATCGTGGGAGGGAGAACAGAGAGAGACAGCAAGCACAAACCTACCCTCATCAAACAGATGTAAACGAGGACATGAATGAATGACTGGAAGATCATGATATCGAATACCAAAAGGTCCTTGGCATCGGAAGTACGTCTGGCCTACTGAAGCTTTGAATGACAAGTGTCCTGATAGTATGTTTCGAGCGTTGTAAAAAAGCACATCTCAGGTCACTTGCTGAAACTGGGAACCCGTCACTGGCTGGGCGAGCCTCAAGGCATAGGCCAAGCGGAGGAAACG